AATTTCTTCCCAAGCCATTGTTTTTGAATCACAACACCTTTTAAAAGAAGGACACCGTTATGGGCACACTTGGTTACTTTAGTTGTGTGCTCTCCAAACAACCGAGTCACTGTTGAATATTTAAATTACGTCAAGGAATAAAAAAACAAAAAAAAAAACACTAAAAGCCTATAATATGGACATCTAGAAGACAGTCTTTATAAGAGAACATTTGTTTTATCCTTTTTGTACATTATAATAGCTGGCTGAGCATAGGTAGCTATTGTTCCAGCCCTGCAACAGACATGTACATTTCCCCAGGTGCTGTAAACTTTACACAGCATTCACTTTGGTTCAAACAGGTTTGTTGTTTAGTCCCTTAAATATGAACAATTGTCTAACTTGCTACTTTTGTTCAGTTTGTGTTGTCATTTAATTGTTCTCCTTCCTGGGATGCCTGTGAACCCAATGAACAGAAACCAGACCCAATGTGTCTTTTTGGGACTCTTGTTTCTCTGTAGAGTAACATAATATCATGCATCAGTGAAGCAAACTGGGCTGTTGTGAAACATCCAGCTGGCATACCTGGAACTCAGCCCTCTCTGTAAAGAACTGTTTGAGCAGCACCAGCATATCTGAGGCCACCGTGGCCACATCGGTAGCATAGCCCTTTGGGCTGTCAGTGTAGCTGAAGCCAGTGCCCACAGGGTTGTCCACGAATAACACACTGGCTGCCTGGACCTGAAAGAGCAAACACACAAGTCTGCACATTAACCTGCATTTCAACAGACTTTATTTGGGACACTGTTAGACCATGATAGTCTGTGCAAATTAAAAATCCCACCTTCTTGGTTATACAATTTTTTAGCAGTAACCTTAAAATGCAAAAATCTTACCCAGCTTGTTTTTCTGGGCTCTAGGTTCCTGTCCAAAGGTCCAATTTCCTCAAAATTCCCAAAGCCAGTTCCTGATCCTCCTGGTCCCCCCTAAAGACACATGAGCAGACACCCTCATCATGTTCCAACATTAAGAGCAGAGGTTCTATCTAAGACAGGAAAAGCCATTTATGCATTTAAGGAGCCATTATGTCAGAGATGATCCATCTGCTAACCAATTTTGTGGGGGAAACTGTATTGGAAAAATATATTATAGCTAAGCTTTTACCAAGAGGGCTGAATTCATTTTTAAAACTCAGTCAGCACCTACAGCTAAAAACAACACATCTAACCTCAAATCTGTTCCTCTTCTGCAGCTGAAATTAGAGCCACGCTGCAGTTACTCAGTCAGTCACAGACCAGCAGCCACTCATTTAGTGTATATACACACACACACACACACACACACACACACACACACACACGACATGAACTAAAACCTGCTTCAGTTAGCGGTGTAGTATTGCACTTCCATAAAGTTGTCAATGGCTGAGTAGTATTCCCCACGGCCAATTAACTGATTTTGATGTGTAAAGCAAAAATCAGTGTGCCCCCTTATAGACCCATCTCATACTGTATGGGTCAGTCTCTGTTAATCTCTTTTTCTAATGCATGGGAACCTGGAGCTGCCTGAAGTTAAGGGAAAGCACATTCAGAGACACAAGACAATACAGGATACTTGGGGGAAAATAAGCCCAACTCTGAGACACGTAAATCGGTTAAAAAGTGCAGAAACAGCTTAAAGTTGGTGGTCGTGTCTTACCTGCAGCCACATGACCAGAGGCAGGTCCTTGTACTCTGCAGACTGGCTGTCGGCATAGTACAGCCACCAGAACATATGGGCCCCATCCCTCACTTCCACATAGCTCCAGGTTTCTTGGCCTCTCAGCGGACTGGGGAGCCCTGCGCGGGATTCAGGAAGACTCGCAGCTTTAACGTGGCATTACGTTACCGTGTTACTTACAGGCCAATTCTAATAAAGTAGTAAACCAATACAGGCGCAAGAAGCTATTGAAATGAGCAGCGTTACTTTCGATTTGCAGTCAGCTGATCAAGGCATGCTGTGATACGAAACCAGTATTTTCAGACTTCGCAGACAGAAAACAGTGTAATTTGTTCGCTCGGGATGTCTGACTTCAGCTGGCTAAAAAAAATGTATATCGAAGCCATAAATCATACCTTTACTGGCGACAACGGCGAGTAGAAACAAGAAAGTGGAGGCTGCTCCTGCCCGGCCCATTGTTGACGCTTGAGTTTGTGGACCGCGCTGTACACGCCTTTATTACTGCAAGAAATCACATGACCACACCTAGCGGTCAGCTGACTGACGACGTGGTTTGTTTTAGTTCACTGTTTCAAAACTTGCCATGTGGAAGGAAGGTGGAAAACTAGGCAAGATATGTAGTCCAGAATAAATTTAATACAAAAGTTAAATTTAATAGAATAAAGTAGGAATTTCAACTAATAAAGAATAGAGATACTGTTTAAAGGGATAGTAAGTGATTGTAATCCAGTAGGTTACTTTCATATATATATATATGAAAGTAACCTACTGGACAGGGAGGGGACAGGGGCATCAACCCAGCAGCAGGACCAGTATCTGCTCCTTTGCGCTAAAAGGAACATGAGTAGCACTGCCAGAGGCCTACAAGATGACCTCCAGTGGGCTACTGGTGTGCATGTTATGTGTGCTGTTCATACTGTCAGAAAAAGACTCCATGAAGGCCTGATATCTAGTGTCTAGTGGGATCTGTGCTGTGCTGACATTTGCAAGAGAACACCAGAATCGGCAGGTCCACCATTGGTGCTCCATTCATCTTCTCAGATGAGAGCAGGTTCACACTGAGAACATGTGACAGACGTGAAATAGTCTGGAGACGCCGTGGTGAACGTTATGCTGCCCGCAACATCATCCAGCATGACCAGTTTAGCGGTGGGTCAGGGGGGTCTGGGGAGGCATGCCCTTGAAAGGTCGCACAGACTGCCAGCTCCTAGCCATCCAGCCTGACTGCTGTTAGGTACCGGGATGAAATCCTCAGAGCCATTGTCAGACTTTATGTTGGTGCAGTGGGCCCTGGATTCCTCCTGGTGCAGGACAATGCCCGGGCTCATGTGGCCTGAGTGTGTAGGCAGTTCCTGGATGATGAAGGCATTGATGCCATTGACTGGCCCTCACGTTCCCCAGACCTGAATTCAATTGAGAACCTCTGAGACGTAATGTATCGGTGCATCCAACGCCGCCAAGTAGCGCCACAGACTGTCCTGGAGCTCACTGATGCCCTGATCCAGGCCTGGTAGGAGATGCCCCAGGACACCATCTGCCATCTCATCAGAAGCATGCCCAGACGTTGTCGGAAATGCATAAAGGCACATGGGGCGCTGTACACACTACTGAGTCACATTCGGAGTTGCCATGCTGAAAGTCACACAAGTTGGACCAGCCTATGATTTCAACTTTTTAGATTAGATTTTTGGTTGGTGATTTAAGTTTCCATTGGCCGTTGTTACGCCATTTTTTTCTCAACAAATTATACAATGCACAGTAAAAATTTTTAAATTTAATTCGAGATCTGATGTGTGATTTAAGTGTTCCCTTATTTTTTTGGGATATACCAGTGTGTATATATATATATATATATATATGTACGTATGTGTGTATGGAAATGTTTCTTGAAGTCAGTAAACTATATATTAACAATCATTTTTTAAGGGAGAGGTTGACATTTTTTGGTGTAAATCAGCTAAAGTCTGACATTCTGGATTTTTCTCTCAAGCTAGCTACCAAAAAAAAAAACATTTTTTCTATTGAAGACATTCTGATGAACTACAATTGCCTTGATTCCTTGCGCTCAGCATGCTGTATTACTCTCTCCCTCCACTCCAACAGAGGGCAGTGTTGGGAAAGAGTTGGCTTAAAAGAGGCCACTGCTACCTCGACTTCCGGTGAGTCATTTGTTCTTCACAATAAAAGCCCAAAGGACAAAAAAACATCTAAATGGATTTAATTATAGATTGATTTAAATTGATTTGATCATCAAAACAATTGACCTCAGATTAATAAATGTAGTATTTTAAAAATGTATGTATTATAAAGAAAGACAAATATAATTAATATGTAATTTAGGCAAATTCACCCACATAGCCTACTTCACAACTTGACATTTAATAGCCTACGATGAATACGATGCAGAAACGGGATTCATGTAGTCATTATATAAAAAAACGTTTTAATTCTGAAAAGTAATTTTTCTCTAATTTGGTAAAAATGCAATCAACAATGTTATGAGTAAGGGTAATATCTTTATCACTTCAAGATAGTAATGTCAAACTGATTTTAATAAACTGCTTTTGGTTTAGGTTTCTCCAGTTACGATCCTATGTGTGGATTGATTTGACACTCTTGTCCTGAAAACTCCGATCGAAAAAACTCCTCTTGTTTCCGGCGGAACACGAGCAGTGCGTTTTTGGCGTGTGGTAGCCGTCATGGCTACTCACAGCAACAACTTTGTCCGCGTGCGATTATACTTTGACTATCCGCCGCCCGCTGTCATTGATTGCCGCATGTGCTGGCTGCTGGTGGACTTGAACACGTGTCGCGTGGTGTCGGATCTGGAGAGTATCATCAGGGAGAAGTTCGAGTTCAGCCGCGGGAGCATCCTCAGCCTCTTCATAGAAGACTGCTACCTGCCGCACACGGAGAGCATCTATGTGGTGCGGGACAACGACAGCGTCAGGTGCGCGTGCTTTTGTTACGACGGTAGTCATATTGTCTGAGAGTTCATGGGTGCATGTGGCAGCTCTCAGTTCAGCTCAAGGACGCTTAAAGATGTAGGCAAAGACAAGCATGGAGTTTAGTCATTTTCGGGCCCCCTCCTTTCTAAGACGACGCTGAAGTTGGCTTCCGATTCGGCAGTTCTGTCGAGGCAGATGGCCGCCCACCCTGAGCCATGGTTCTGCTCCAGGTTTCTGCCTCTTAAAGGAAGTTTTTCCTTGCCTCTGTCGCCTAGTGCTGCTCTTGGTGGGAACTGTTGGGCTTCTGTAAATATCATCACAGAGTACGGTCTAGACCTGCTCTTTTATGAAAAGCGCTGTGAGATAACTGTTGTTGTGATTATATAAATAAAATTGAATTGAATGAGGTGAGTTTGAAAATCACCAGGCAGGCTACCCTATACAAGGTATAGGCTTCATGACCCAGCTCTGTTGATACTGGATATTAGTGGATAGACAGAATTTGCAGTTGTTTAGGTTACAAGTAGAGCCTAAGGGCTTAAATCCAGCTCTGGCCTCCAATAACATCTTTATTTTATGATCTTTTCTCAGTCGGGTGGGATGATCTCTTGCACCTGCAGAGGCAGAGCTACAGTTTGTCAGCATCAGGCTCACTTAGAAAGACGACGCTGGAGTCAGCATCGATTCGGCAGTTAAGGGGAAAGTAAAGGGAAAGTTACATGAAAGTTAACTTATGTTGCTGAGCCACAGATTCTCCGTTGTTTGCGCCTCTTACTGCTGTGAAAGCTGTTATCCATTTTAGCAAAGAAAACAAAAAAAAAACTTTATTTTATTTGTGAAAATGAAAAAAGGGCAATTTCACTGCTTTTTCTCTACATGCAGACCACATTAGACCAGGTCCAGATCCAAAACCACTATACCTAGAGCTCACAAATCTGGACTAGAATGTCCCACAGAGTCTAAGGTTTCAACCAAACACAGTTTCAGATTTGTGAAACCTTTATTCAATTTGGGCTGAACGATAAACATTTTTTGAGAACTGAGATTATTTTGCTTGATTTCGCATTTCCGATATGATTTGCGATGTTGAAGGGAATGATAGTTTTCACATAATTATTCTCATTTTCATTGAAAAACGGTATTGTAACAACTAAATATTAAAATCTACTAATACACAAGTTTTATATTGAAAACTTTTCTCTGCATAAAAAATAACAACCAATACCTTTTGTAAACATATGAAAATCATCTAAGTGTGCATTATCAAGATTTTATATCATATAGGTAACACAATGACCCCGTGGACAATTATATGAAAAGAAATAAGTCTTTAGAAGACAGTGATAGTAAATGCAATGAGCCCAAAAACTGACTTAAATACAGAGCAGTCTGTAGCGTTTCTAGATCTGCTGGTTGGTAAACAGCGTAACGTGTTCTCATGTGCAGCGGATGAATAGACTCTGCAGACACACGACGCACACAGTTGCAGAACAACGTGTAGCGTTTTTACAAGAGCAGCAACACCTTCGGTTTACACGCTGTTAGCAAGTCAGAGAAACAAACCAAAGCTACAAATTAACTCACCCTGCGCTCACTATAAGGTCATTTTCTTCAATCAAGTTTCCCTCAGCGCTCTCACAAAAACTAAAACAGGACCGGAGTGACTGAAAAATCTCTGCAGCGCTGTCCTCCGCCGTCATTGACCCAAACAAACTGTTTGTTTGTTTGTCTTAACTCAAGATCTACTTGCTAGCTTTCTCCAATGCTTTCCACGACTTTTTCAGTTTTCATGAATAGAGCTCAGTTATCATGTCACTTAAAGCCCAAAAGCTCTGGGAAAAGCCAGTAAGTCGACCTCAAATTAGGATTCGACTTTGTCAGATACTACTTCCAAGTACAAGAATTGACTTTCATCTGAAAATGTTTGACTTTTTCCTTTTTAAAGACGTGTTTCTAAATTCTCCAAAGTTGCTCATGTTCACTCTTACTTTGCCAGGGTGAAGGTGGACTACCTGGCTCAGGTGAATGGGCACGGCGGCTGTCCAGATACAGCAAGTGAAAACAGCAGAAAGAGGCAGAGACCCGCAGAGGAGGACGGGCCAGGGGAACATGGAGTGGGTGTGGAGCTGAAGAAGAAAAAGAGGAAAAAAATGTGTCTGGAGAGGGATGCTAAGCAGGCTTTAGTTGATGAGAGCACTGACAAGTCACAAGGAAAGCAAAAAGAGAAGAGGAAAAGAAAGGAGGCGGAGGTAAATGGCCCTGCTGTCACCTGCAAACCAGCTGCTTCTACCAATAAAATCCCAGCTAGTGTACACCAGCCAGTTAAAAGCACCAAGAAACCCCCAGTGGCACCAGCAAGAACACAGAATGTCTCCTCTTCAGATTCCAGTAGTGAAGAGGATGCAGCTCCCAAAAAAAGAGCTGCTCAAAAACCGGCACCCAAAACACCCTCCTCCACCCCTGCTGCTTCCAAGGTGCCTCCAACCACCAAACCCAGGCAGACAAAATCACACCCTCCTCCGTCATCCTCTTCTGAAACAGTCTCCTCCTCTGATGAGGCCTCCAGCGTAAAAAGCCCGCCAAAAAACAAGCCTGTGAACTCCACAGCCCCCAAAGGAAAAATAAGTGAAAACTCTAAATCTCAGCAGGCTCCTCCGGCCCAGCAGTCCACAAACGGGGCACAGAAACAGGCTGCGAGCGTAGCGCTGCCTCCCCATGACAAAACCACGGAGCCTTGTGACTCAGACGGACAAGAGGAGATCGAGCTGGTTATCCGACGGCCATTGCAGCCGGGCCGTGGTGTGGGTAGGCCGTCGGCTTGGGGAGGCCGTGGCCGGGGGAAAAACAGCCGTGGTGGACCTGGAGAGTTTGGATGGGGTGAAGGCAGAGGGGGCATCAGAGGACACAAGGACGGCTTTGACTTCAGCTATAATGGGACCAAGGAGCCATCCTACCAGACTGATTCACTGACCAACATGTCTGTGGTCCTCCAGGTCTGTCTGCACCTCCCAGTTCAAGTGCATCACTAGTGTACATGTCAAGATAACATTGTGGAATACTGTGGATGAACATTATTATTCTTTTTTTATGTGTCTCTGCGTGCAGAACGGCGCAGAAAGTGCTCCCAAACAGGATTACAGCTCTATGCCCCTGCTAGCTGCACCTCCACAAGTGGGGCAGAAGATTGTGTTCAAGGTAAACTTAGTCTAGTCTCTTCAGCTACAGTATTAACACTGCATACCTACAACCTAACCTGTTTTGCTTTGTAGCCCTGTTTCTACTGTTCAGTTTGGATCAAACATGGTAAAATCCACTCTTATTTCCCACAAAGCCTCTTGGAGAAGCTCCTTTCAATCATGAAGCGCCATATAGGGGAAAGAAAAGTACCACCAGGTCTCCCAAAATGACACAGGATAACTGTGTAACTGCCTTTAAACAGCTGCCCTTATCTGCAGCTGTATCATACAAATAAATAGTTAAATCATACATTGTGATTTCTGGATTTTTTTTTTTAGATTATGTCTCTCACAGTGGACATGCACCTACGATGACAATTTCAGACCCCTCCATGATTTCTAAGTGGGAGAACTTGCAAAATAGCAGGGTGTTCAAATACTTATTTTCCTCACTGTACAATGAAGAAACAAACAGAGGACCGTGGCTTTGCACTTACATTTTCACGTTTTACACAGAAACACACATTTCATAGATACTGTAGAAGTACGAAAAGATTTACAAAGTGAGAGCCAGACACATTTTAATAGCTTAAAGAATTAACGCAAATTGTTGAGCACAAAATAGAAATGAAGGTCAAATAATGTAATTGAACTTCTGAGTTTAAACTTAGTAAGGGTGGGGCCCCCCGGTAGCTCACCAGGTAGTACCATGTACTTACCACAGTGGCCCTTTGCAGCAGATCATCCCCTTTCCCTCGCCTGCCTTTCCTGTCACTGTTTACTAAAGGTAACACGCCCCGAAAGAATTTATCTTCACACTTACTAAGACTTAAAATAGGCCTGAGGGTGACAAATTAATCGTGACTAACCAAATAAATAATTAACAGATTAGTTGGCTACAAAAATAGTCATTAGTTGCAGCCCTAGTTGCAGGCGAATTACCAGTAGCTTTTAATGCTGTTTGAAAGTGAATTTTTCTTTTCACATTTAATGTAATCAACCATATATATTTATTTATCTTTATTCCATTAACAGATCTGCCACCAATAATGGAAAGCAATAGTATTAAATCATTGAGTGCACTTTTGTTAAAGTAAGAGACTGAACTTTGAATCTAGTTGCAAGCTTAAATTCCTAACATTTCTTTGTTTGTGTGTGTTCCCAGTTGCTGGAGCTAACCGAGAACTATACACCTGAGGTATCAGAATATAAGGTGGGTGTAATCATTTCTGCCACAGTAATGTAAAACGGCAGCTTTGACTATTGATATCATGTTACTGTAAAGGGCCTTGGAGAGAGCGTCATAATGAAGGCTTCACTAACAGCCATGTTGCTGCACTTTTTAGGAGGGAAAGATCCTGAGCTTTGACCCAACCACCAAACAGGTTGACCTGGAACTACTTAATACTTTTCAAGGTAGGAATCATTTCACCATTGACCTATAAAATATTATTATTAAAATGCCTAGTTCAAAGTTAATATGTCAACATGCTAAAGATTAGTTTTTCAGGTAAAGAAGTAGTGGTGGAATCCCTGGTATTGATGAATAACCCTGTTAGCTTACTATAGACATACCTTATTGTAGTTATTATAAACACTTTCGGAGCAGAAGTCATGGACTTTTAAATGGAATTTACGTAGCCAGAGCAGATTGTACAGTATTTCCCAACATTTACCACACATTTGTGATTACTCATAACCTGCTATTTCTCCCACAGCTCCTGTAGAACCTGGAAAGTTTGACCTGGTTTATCAGAACCCGGATGGCTCGGAGAGCGTGGAGTATGCAGTATCCAGAAGCTCTCGGGTAAGCCTTAGCATGTAGCTACTATTATATCAATAATCTCATAAACGGCACTTCTTAAGGAAATAGTTCAGCGTTGTCATTTCATTCCTTTCTATTGTCATCTGTACAAGTAAGCTATGAAAGTTAAAAAGCTTATTGCATAGAATGTCTTATTACAAAGGAACACTGATGTTTACTTGTTTGGGTCTCTGTCTGTACGATTGGCAGTAGACACAGTTACAGTGTCAGCAGAAGCAGTTAAAGCCAAAGCTTTTTTTTTTTCCTCTGAGGCCACATTTTACCCCCCTTCTCTCAACTTTGAGTGAGTGCATTCACCAGAGATCCCCTGTTTTTAATTCCTCATCCAAACAGGAGAAAGTGGTGAACAGACAATAACAGCTGCATATGCAGAAAGTAGCAGTAGTTCTAATTTGGGAGCCGTTTTCTCTATTATTTCCCAAAGTATCCATTTCAATGTTGTTTTAATCTTAATTAAAGTAACATCTTTACTTTCCTCCTACAGGTGACAGAACGGTGGGACTCCCTGCTGGAACCAAGGCTGATCATTTAAATTTGACCAGTGACTGTGTACACCTCCCCCCAGTTTGGCAAAATGGATTTGCCTTTTCTCGAATAAACTATTTTCAGGATCCTGTGATATGTTCTCCAGAGTTAAACTAGGAGTCCCCTCTTTACATTGCGTATGAAAGCTAAGGGATATGATAGTTGAATATATTCTCTTGTCTGTGAGCTGCTGCATTGCAATGTACAGGTGTACCTATTGAAAGATTTTTTAATTGTTGCATTTAAATTGGGTTAGATATGAAATGCTGTTATTTTTAATGTGATTGTTTCCAGGACTGGGACATTATGGTTTTGTACAGTTATGTGACTGACTACCAGTCTTGTATAATCTCTTTTTGTAATAAAACCCTGTGTCTTCTGCTTTGACTCTAGGGTAGATCTATTTTGTATTATTCCAATGTGGAAATTTTCGGTGTTGCTAAACACAATGTAAACATTATGTCATAGTAAGTTAGGTTTTACACAAAAAAGTGCAAAGTCAAAATTATGATATTAAGTCAGGTTTTAGATTAGAGAGAACATTGTTTTCCTAGTGAAATGAATCAAAATTTTGATTTGTCACTTGCTGTATTCCAATTTCAATCTGTGTTGTTTTTACAGTTAGATTACAAGATAAAAAAAATATTTATTGTTATGTATAAGCAGGAAATTGTGCCTATAAGAATTCAATGCAAAACCAAAAGATATTTATTCATTTTTGTCAATCTCAATCTATTTTGAGCTGTCTCACCACCATAATCTGTTAATATAACTTCTTTTTACAGCTACTACATCTTCCCTTGCATTACTTTTGCATGAGGAAAATTTACATCAACAGCAAACTTGGAAATCATTTTTTCCCCCCACTGAGACATACTACATGCTCAAACTTATTATAAAGTAAGGAACTGGGACCCAACTCTTATCTAATAAGTTTGATATATTTAGTCAAATTTCTGACTTAAAGAGACTATAACTTATAGCCATTATGTGACATTTATTAGAACATTTGAAGGTAGTTTGAGAGTAGTACAAAAAATTTTAGTTTTTTAGTAATATCAGTTACATAGAAATAATCTTAGCTAAGATTAGCTACTTTAGCCACCACAATCCACTGTGCACACACCACCAAGGCTGAAGTGGCAAAATCCCTATTGACTATTGAATTGAGCAAATGTGTGCTTTATGTCTTATGAATGCAATTTCTTACTAAGACGCGACATACCGTCAGATGGCATACTCTTGATTTAGTATCTCACAACTTAAGCACGTTAAAAATGGCATAATTTTCATGATTGTTTTTTGGGTGTTTATGTCATTAGATGGTCTCCAGTGCAGGTGGAGAGGAGAGACCGCTTTATGAAGGAACAGCAGAAAGGCCATTTTAGGTCATGCAGCTACTCAATGTCCCGTTTTATTTTGGTAGAAAGCAGGAGGTCGCTGGTGACCTTCTTTTAGACAGTCTATTGTGGTAACACACCTGGATTATTAATTAGCAGCTGGCTTGTGACGCAACGCCACGTGTCCTTGTCGTAAATCATCGCTCTTTTCCGTAACTTCTCGCGCTTCTTGAACAGCGACGCTGCTTATGTCAGAGCAGAAACGCCAGTCGGTCCGGCGGAGCTGACGACGGGGAACGACGATGGCGAGCGTCAAACCGATTCTTTAACAGTTCATTTGATTGGTAAAAAAAAAAATACCGACGAAGCCAACTGTACGATGGACGGACGTGCTTTTCCCGACCAAGAGCAGCTCCTGCAGTTTCTGAGGAGGCTGAAGGAGGTTTTCGACGTATGTGACGAGGATGCTGACGGCTTCATCCGGGTGGAGCACTTGATGGACCTCGGTCTTCAGTTCGGTCAAGGAGACGAGGTGACAGGCTGGGAAGGACCGTGTGTCCACATACACATAGCTCCTTTACACCCGTGTTCTGTATTTAACAAGCAGTGGTCCGTCAGCCAACATTTTGATAAAGATATTTAGTAACAAGTGGCGGCTGACAGACCCTCTGTGCTCCTGACAACAACAGGCAAACTGTGCTACGTGTTTAAATGGTAGCATTTAATGACTCATTACCTACACATTAGCTAGTGTGCTAGCATATTTGCGGGACTGGTGTGCTGCTGTATCACAGTTGACTGCAACTGACCTGTCGTGTTTGCTACCTCCTTAAGTCTTTTTTTGTCTCTTGTGCGTTTTCCATATTATTGAAATGACTTCCAACTTACTAACACTAGAAAAACTAGATGAAGTATTAGGGGGTTTAACAGATTTCTTGAGGATTTCAGAGGTATTCCTATTATAAATGTTGGATATTGTGACATCAAACTGTACTTCCTACTTGCAGAACAAATCCCAGTGATTTATTTTGCATAGTTTGAAGCTGTCTATAATTAAATTCACTTGATTAACTGGAAACAAACATTCCTGTCTGGTTATATTATCACTACAGTTTTTTAATTGATTTTCCTGTACTGAAAGAGACGGTGAAGCCAGTGGTGGAGAGGCCTTTAGCTGATTTCTCACTGGGTTGTCATAGTTCCATCAGACCTCATGCAATGAGGTGAAGAGACTTCAGATTTCAGTCTGTCTATTCCATCATGTGTTCCCATGAACTGGTCAAGCACCACCGTACAGTGCTGGAACGTGCTGGGAGAACCATTGATGGAAAGGTGTGTAGCCCATGTACGTCATTTAGAGCATTTAGCTCCCAGCATTATTTTTGCTTGTGTTTGCACTTGATATGAAGCAGTGTCCCCTTGTTGCAAGTTGCATGGTTATAAGGTTGGTTAATTTGATTAATCAGTATTTTACCAAAGAGTAAACAGCATTTGGTGCAGGAAAATTTAGTTTTCTCTCATTTCCTACCTGGTTTATCATCTTGTGATGCCCTTTAACATTTCTGGCAACCTCATGGGGGTCAGGACTCCTGTTTGGGAACCACTGATTTTAGGTGTCTATCTACAGGATGTGCAGCTCTCCAGACACCATATCAGTGTGACTCTGTTCTCATGCTGGTGCAGCAACCCAAGCCAAGCTACCTTGCTGTATTACCATGTTGCTACGCCTACCTTGGGTGGGCTTCAGCACCAGCAGTGCAAATGTCATGGTAGTAAACCTGGGGCACGGTGTCAGTTTAGATTTATGAAGTTGCGCGCAGTTGATATATTGTTGAATGTGCACAGACAGGGTTTTCATGTGAGCGAAGGTGCAGTGGAGGAGGAGCACCTGAAAAGATGTTGGGGGCGCAGGTGGATGCAGATTATCTCCAAAGGGACTCCAGACCTTTAATGTGACCTTTTGGGGCTGACAGTACCAGCAGGGGTGCCGCAGCTACTGCCAGCCTTAGGTTCAGTACCACGGAGAGGGCACTGCCAGGCGCTCTATGGTACTGAACCTGGAGTAAGCAGGGGTGCCAGTGGTCCACACTTGATTCATGATTTGACTGCCTAGCCCATGGTTCTGCAGATACTATTCCATCATATTACAATATCTTAAGATTTGGGGCCAAATACTGTGTCTGTCTTCATTAGTTTAAAGTTTTGGCTGGCTGATGTGTTTGGAACAATGGTTGGAGAGAGCTGCTTCCAGACATGCTTACACAGTTTCTCTGCCCAGTCTACAAGTCTGTTCCAGGCAATGGATTGTTTACAGAGTGAAAGCCTCTTTAGAATGGATTGTAGATACATATGGATGATTAAATTGTGAATGGTGACTGAAGATGGTTTGAACTTGGTCTGATCCCACTGTGTGTTGTAATTATGGATGGAGTGTGTGTATGCCAACGTTGTCTCCAGATTGAATTCATTTCAGTATGCTATGAAATTCAAACTGCAGCATTGGGGTTAGAATAAGTAATTCATTACAATAAACAACATAATGCAATTTTTCATAGTCATTTGGAGTAGCTAATATTAAAAAACAAAACCTGTTGGTGTGTTTACATTAGCTCTTGCAGCTAAGGTTTCAGAGGATGCTGTTCTTCCAAGTGGAGTTTTAGGAATGTATAGCTGTTTGTTGGCCTTATCTAAAACAGTGGTGTGAATCATAAATAAATGCAAAACATAATAAAGCAGACTGGGTTTACCTATACCTGTCCTAAGCAGGCTTCAAGCATTTCATACCCAGCTGAAGAAATTAAAACCAGTGGATGCCTGGGAGAATTGGTGTAAATGTAAAGTAGAGTGTTGTAGCACAGTTTCTGTAGTTCATTTGATAAAACATGTAATGCACTGTAAGTAATGGTTTCAGATGAGAGATAAACAAGCTTTTGCATTCAAGAAGACTACCACCCAGTCCCCAAGTACAGCTTTATACTTGCATTAGAATAACTCCAGGTTATTTGGAGACTGATGTGTAAAACGTGAGATAGCAAAAGAAAGAAACTGAACCCGGTGGAGAAATTGGAATCAGTATTAGAGGAGGCAGGTTAAATCCTGGATGCACAGAGTATCACAGATAAATGATATCTAACAGTGAGAGTAGATTTTCCTTTAAGCTGTCATGGCGGCTGAGCACCCTGAACACATCACTAAAAATAACTCAGTCGTTCTTAGAGGAAGCTACTCCTTCGTCTTCCTCCTCCCCTCTCTCGGCTCCTCTCATCTCTGTGTTCTTTGTCACCATGGTGATGAGAGCTTCAGGAGGAGTCTATGCGCGTATTGGTGGGTTATTTAGCAATGAAATGAGATGGTGCCCACTGCACCAGTCCCGAATTTACGTTTATGTTTCATTTGGAAAACAATGTTCTCTCCAGTGACACATCCAGAAACATCAGTTTGTGTGGTGTTCAGTTCACTGCAGTGAGAGTCAGATAGCTACACTACAATAACATTTTTATTTCTCATGTTTACCTTGGAACCACACTGCTGAATGCATGTACACATACACACTGGGATTATTACAGTAAACATGCAATATTTATCAAAGCACATATATAATGCGTTTATTCAAATGTTTATTTCTGCATTTGTTCAGTATTATTTGTACTGGAATACTTTGTGTACTAAGACATCATTTGGTTCTCATCTTTTTCAAAGGACCAAACCATGTTGTGCTCATTTTAGCCCTACAATTTCTGTTTTCCTTATATTAAACAATTTCTGATATATTATTATTTCATACCAATATGCACCATTATTGTAGATTTGTAAATGTGTGTAAAGGTGCAGACTTATTTTAAAAGTCTACTGGTGATGCATGTGGTCATATGTTAAATGTGGGGTATGGGATTCTAATCCAGTACACGTGTTTTTGTCAAATTCAGTGGTGGTTTGTATTCAGCTCTGTAAAGCCACAGTTTACTAATGCCACTGGAGGATTTTCAAATCTTAACCAATTTAAAAAATGTAGGATACCTTAGACATAACGACAGATTTAACCGCTTTCCGGTCAGCTTGCTCTCATTGGCTGGTGCAGGTTTCAGTTCAATATTCCAGTGCTGTTTCTTTACACGGCAGGAAATAATTGAATCGTAATTGTAAATATTGATACTTACGATAAGAAATCGGGGAGACTACCTTCTAGTCAGGTAATATTAATATTATGTTTGTAAACCTCTCACACTAACCTGTGATAACCTGTTCAGACCAGGCTCGGATCGGGAACACCCATGCGATTTTAGAGAGGAGCTCAGGTCGGAATAAAAAAAAAAAAAAATTGTCCCAGTTATTCTCTTGTGTGGGACCAGCATAGCCCACAACTTAGCCTGTGTTAATTACATTGCTGGCTGTGTCGCTGTTTTCTCTATATCGTGATAATTTGTACTGGATTGCTCCAGAATTGCTTACCCCTCCTGTGACCGACTTCACTGTCTGAGATATGAGCGTTTGCTGCCAAATCTCCCTTCATTCAAAACTTAGTTGTGTGAAAATCTTCCCATTGGCCGCTAGTGTTATTTAGCCATCACTATACCTGTCACAAGACCATTGCAGGTTTATTTTAATATGATGTACCCAAGTTTTGTAAGTAAGCAAATCCTCTAATCTAAAACACTGGCTGCTGTCATGCTGTAATACCAGTACAAAACCTAAACAACTACATCACAGATTGTGTTATTTATTGAATAAATAAATGGTGTACTTACTATTTAGCAAATGTTGGTTTTTTTGTTGTTTTTTTTAGTGCCACCCCAAAAGAACACTGGTCTGAGCCTGGCCACCCCTGTGAAAATATGGTTTGGGCTCCACCGCTGGTTAATTAATGTACAAATGAAATTAATAAAATACTGAATTAGCTGATTGACAAAAAATGAATCAGCAACTAACAAGAAAAAAACTGGCATTCCTCTCTTCACTGATATTATGCATTATTATGTTATTATAGGAAACCATCCAAGGAAAGCTGTAGCACACGTGCACATGTGTCTACAAAACACTGTCCTCATTTTATTGTACGCATGCATTAGGTTAAGTGCACATGTGGGACATCCCTTAGATGTTATAACAGGTGGTAGTAGAACAATAATCTGGTTTTATCTGAATGTAAATGCAAACAGGCATTTTTTTGGCCTTAAGAATTTCAGAAAAAAATACAAGTCGTGGCCTCTGTTAGAGCTTGAGATGTATAATAGTGTTGTAATAAGAGATTAGTTGACTGTGCGTGCCTGTCTGATGTTAAAGAGTCTGTAGGTGTTTGATGTTAAATGGATGACACAGAGCGGTATTAAGTTGAGGCACAGCGTGTTGACATTTAAGCCTGTGTGACGATGTGACGCTGAGCTCTGGGGTGTGTAACTGTGCGCGTGAGATAACATTTCTCAGCACGTGGTTCTGCCGGTGGTTGTTCCACACACTCTGCTCTCAATAGGTCATTTTGATAGATTTATCCAGACTCAGCGACCCCACTTCCAGCTAAGCTAATTTCAAGATCAAAGCTTGTGTCAGATGGTATTCACAACACTTGCTCTGAGTCTGACTGTCAGAGTCATAATCTTTTATGTGTGACTGTAGAGTTATTTCAACCAAAGGAAATGCTACATTGGATTTGTGTGAAGAATAGTTGATGAAGGGGCAGAAAAAAGCTGCCCTGAGTAGAGGCATGATGGTAATGTCAGCAGTGGTCAGTGCATCTTGCTGTATGACAGGGGTGGCCAAACTACGGCCCGCAGGCCAACCGCAGCCCACTGTCTGATTTTAAATGGTGGTGAATTTTTAAACATAAACTAAAATATGGCCTGAGCTTATTGTTTGTATGTTGGACATCCTAGTTTAGGTGTTGCTGTCATCTTGAACAACTACTAGCAAGCGCTGTCATTGCACTTCTTATCTTAAACGCTACAGACGCTACCATTTTGGACAACTACTTGACCTACAATGATGGATTGGTGCTTAGAGCTAAATGTTAACATGCTGATGTTTAGTAGAGATAATGTTTAACATTATTCAACATTTTAGTTTAGCATGATATGAATACAAACGCAAGCCAGATGGCTGTGCAGTAAGTCATTCTCACTCTCTGACACTGTAGGAGACTCATTTATGACGGATGCTTGAGGCTCCTTGTTAGCGTGTCCGCCTCCCGTACCAGAGGTTCTTGGTTCAAGTCTGGACCATGCGGTAGTACAATCTCAGGGAGAAATGTTACACTAAGAGTTACTTATCAGCAAGTACAGCTGAGGCTGAACCAAAGTATAGGAAAATGAAAAATTTGACCTGATGATATAACTCGATGATCATCTGGGAACCATGGAAATTTGTACCAAATTTCATGGCAACCCATCCAATATTGTTGAGATACTGTTTCACTCAAAACCAACAGCAGTATTTGAAGAGGGTTGTGCTCACACGGGTGAACTAATGCCCCTGCTCAGCTAGTTTTTGGTGGTGTCCTTATTGTAAAAATCTGAGGCAAATTTGTGATTTGACTGACTTCTGTGTCTTGCAGGTGAAGAAGTTGACCAGGTACCTTGATCCTAACGCTCATGGGAAGATCAACTTCAAAGACTTTTGCCACGGAGTGTTCGCCATCAAAGGTAAGACATGGACAGTAGATGTAAATGGTGTAATGCCAAATTATCCCTTAAACTGCGGATGATCTTCCTCCAGCACTTATCTGGATTCCACATAGCCTGTCTCACCTTGAAACTTGACAGGAGAGGTTTTTGATGGGAAACATGAATTCAAACTCATACCTCCTCCATCCTCCCAGCTGAAAAGAGAATACACATTTGGGTGAGACTGGTCACATGGGAGGAATATTCTGCAGATATGCCTGGCTGTACTTTGTTCACATTACACAATTGGCACTGCAGTGTCCTTCTGGCAGACGAGTTTTATGTGAAAAGGGGGGGCAGAGGTGTTGTATACTGTTTTGTTTTAGTTTATTTCCCCTCCTCATTTTTCTTTCTTTCTTCCTTCCTGCCAGGTTGTGAGGAGATACTGAAGATGGCTGTGGGACCTCGCAGTGTTACCTCCAACCAGCAGTCTGTTACTGACAATGGTTACGTTTACCAGGTACCATCGGCGTCGCCAGGTCATTTTCCCGGGTTTTAGCCTCGGATGTTTTGACTGTAGGCCCGAATGTAACTCAACAACAGCAACAAAAATATTTTCCATGTTAATATGCAATAATCCCCATGATGCAGCCTTTCTCTCAGCTCTTCAAAGAGGCTACTCGCAATAATATCGCTACATTTTGTTTAAAGTTCACGTAACGTGACCCCCCCCCACTTTTACTCAGCCTCCCTGCATAGAGAGAGAGAGAGAGAGAGAGAGAGAGAGAGAGAGAATTGCTCACAGCTTCAGCGCTTATCCGCGACTAATCTAGCAAAACTGTAAACCATACATTTAAATATCAATGTTGTCGGTCAGTCTAGTTGTCTCGTCAATGTATTAACACAATCGGTCAGTCACCGCAAAGTAGTGAGAGAATATCGTGACACACCTGACCGTGACACTGACACCTGTCGCTCTGTGTCCTGCTGTCTCTGTCCCCCTCGCTCTGAGACACTTTGCTCTGTTTGACTGTCTCTCTGCTCCAGGATGCTTGTCTCTGAAACGGCCCTGAGCTGAACTTTATCAGAGGTGGTAAAGTGAATATTTGTGTGGTGATATTTCTGTTTGATCACAAGTGTTTTCAGTTTCGGTTTTCTTCCTCTGATGAAGAGCAGTGCGCTCCTCTTGTCGAGTAGGCTACAAGTCAAATTATTTATTTATATAGGCCTAACTGGTTTTTAAAAATGGGCCAACGATCAGCCCACAAAGCATAGGCCTATACTGACATTGGGCTGGCCCAATCACATCTCTTACTAGCCCCCACTCGCTCCAGCTGTTTCTTGTGTTGTGGGCCAAAAAATAATAATTTCGCCAAAATGCACAAAAATAACAGACATATAGATAAAAGCTAAAAAAAAGAATGAGCTGCTGCTTACTGCATTAGATTCTATTATATTTTTAGATTCTGAATTGTCACCTGCCTCCTAAATTTTGTCCTTCCCTTTATAAAAATAAAGACGTTTCCACAATAAAACTTAAATAAAATGGTGCAGAAAAATTCACCCGAGGAAATTAAGTGTTTAAAGCCCAGATTTTTCAGGGGGACGACCCCCAGTTAATATTATATATATATCAGTGTTAATTATTGTCAGTAGTAATAATAAAATCATAATAAATGTAGGCTAGAAGTATCATTTACTGTTGCTTTATAGACATACTTTGGGTAGGCGGGGTGGGGTGAAAACATGATTTCTGAGCTGAGCTAAGCCCCCAATGTTTCAAGAGCCTAGAAATGCCCCTGCCAGGTACAACATTTTTCTCTGGTGGTGAAGCTTTAAACCTGTTTTCTAACTTTATGGTAGAATTTTTGCTGCTTGATACAGAAGGAAAGCTTGCAGCAATGTTCTCATGACTAACCTACAAAACAAGTCCATCTGATATTATATAATTTGTCTGATTTAAGGGTTCTTGGATACAGAGTTTGATCAGTGCCCAATGTGCTCTGCTGAAGTGGTGCAGTTTAATAACCAAAGCAGGACCCTACTAGTTGCCCACCACAACTTAAAAAAAGTACACCCCTTCACCAGAGCACATAGCACACTGATCACTCCACATGCAGAGTTTGCACATCACCTACCTGTAAACGTGTCAGCATCACAGCTACTGTCAAAGATAATGTTGCCTGGATGCTAGAGACAGACGTTCAGTTACATGAGGTAGATTTTGAGTGAGTATTCTTGTTTATCAGCAGTTCGGGTGCTGGTTAAAATGACTGTGTTACGGCTGAGCGAGTGAAACCAAGCTGCAGACACAAAGAGGCAGGTGACTAGAGTTACAATAAAAAATGATTGTTTATTGCAGAGCTTAAAAGGTATGGAGACAAACCGGGGAATGGATGAGCTAAGTGGGGATCCAAGGCAGAAGGTCAGTGCGGATCCAATAAGGAGGGAGCAGAACGGACTGCAGGGAGCGGAGAAACAGGATTAGTCATAGAAAACCTGACAATGAGCACATGTTCTAAAAGGCTGGACTGCAGACAGTCTTTGTAGCAGTGTTGATTAACTGGATGGGATGCAGCTGGTGAAGCACACCTGTGTCCACTCAGACAATCACACACGCAGCAGAGACATACAGGGAGGGAGCAACTCTGCAGTGTAGGCAGAGGTAGAGGCCATGACACACGGGTGGTTCGTGCTCTGATGTAAGAAATGCTTAACACACAATACACACAAAACTTGCGGTGTTGAGATTTGTCATTACGTACATAATGCCAGCATAGAGATACATCTGTTTGTTGCATGCAAGCAGATTTATGGAGGGGTGGTAGAAGTACTTCATCATTGTACATTCATTTAAAATCCGTACAAATGTTACATTGGAACGTGCAATCTTGAGATGTATTCTATCCGTCTGTACTCCCCTGCAGGCTGTTACCCACCCCTGGCACTTCTTTTAGTATTTATCAGTATTTAAAAGTTAGGTACTTGGAACAAGTGAATGTTTTTCCAGGTGGCACAGCTTACAGGATTATAGCAGAATGTGTACTTTTTCAGTGAAAGCTGTATACATGGACTACTACGGTGCAATTAGTCCTTTCTCTTTCTCTGACAGATGGTGGGACTCTATGTAAACCCCTTTCTGCTTTTAGAAGTCATAAGTCAAAATAAGATGCACTTTGATTTGATATCCATCCATTATCTATACCCGCTTATTCTTAGCAGGGTCGTGGGGGCTGGAGCTGATCCCAGCTGATTAGTAGTTTATCATTATTTTGACTTAACTTAGAATCCCACACATTTGACTTAGTAAGTCAGAGTGTGGACTAAGTAAGCGATATGTTTGACGAGAAAAATAAAGTCATAATGTTGACTGAGAAAGTTGCATCCATTTTCTGCCTCTTATCAGTGGGCTGGGTTGTGTTGTCTGTCTGATTATGAGAGTGAAAAGTTTTATTACTATCTTCTTGCTTCATTATTCAAAATGTTGTTTTACCTTCAGTCTCTATAAATGTTTATCCCTAACCTTACTTTTTTTTTTTCTTGTCCTGGCTGAAATGGTCTTCCATACTAATGCTGATTAAGGCATTATGTTTGGACTCAGGTGTGCACAGTAGCATAAATGATAAAAAAAAATCAATTAATTATGCAATATATCATGTATTGCTGTGTGTACTGTGTTGCAGTGCATGACTGCTTAGATCCCCACTAGAGATCAGCCCAACTGAACAGTTGCTTAGCAACGAGAGAGAGAAAGACACGGAGGTGTGGCTTTGTCCCAGCCAAAGCATCAGGGTGTGTGAATGTGAATGACTGAGCTGCAGTGATACATGTGTGACAAACCCTGGTGTTCAAGCTTCAGGAATGCAGTGGATTTTGGTCCTACCTCCACGATAAAGGATACCGTGTGTTTATTTGGACGACACAGTCATACATACGCACACGCAATGGTGTGACTGGTGGAGAGGAGACACGTGGCATGCACACTGGATTGGTAAGGTGTGTGTCAGACAAAGACAATTGTAATTGAAAAGACTATTTAGTAAATTAGCACACAAACGGTGACAAAAGATTTAAGATCAAGTGAATTTTAATGTGGTGTTTGTGTGTGGATCCACTTTGGATTAGTTATTTTGAACTAGTGTAATAGTGCACGTGGTAGTGTGTGTGGCCTTCACTACTGTTCTTGGTTTTCCAATGGTATAGTCCTGGAAGTAAAACGTTTCATTTCAGTAACTGAGCTGCTTAAACTCTGTACACTCTGGTCCACTTACACAGGTGTTAGTTAGGCTAATTGGACCTCTCCTCAGGACTTTGTGTGTACACACTGTGCTTGATTAACATTTTCCACACTCTGCTGTTTATGTTGCACTTGTTGTTGGGGCAGGACAGCTTCCACCTTTTTTATTATTTATATTTATACATGCAGTTTGATTTTGGTCTTTGAATCTTTGGGATTCACTCAGGTGAGGGAAGGTTGGAAAGAGCTATGTTGAGATTTTTTTTTGAGTTCACAAACTGTCCATTAGAAGTTTCAATTTTACTTACACCACACAATTACTCCTCAATTAAGGAGCTAACATTAATCAGTTTCTACAACATTTTCTGCATGCTTCTGGTTCTGACTATTGTAAATGAAAACACCATTTAGTATATTTGCACACAAACTGACAAGATTTAAGATCAGAGTGTTATTTTTTTTTTTTTTTTGAATGTGCTGTTGTGGTAAAGCGAGTCATCTGATGCTGTTGGGTACCTTTTTTATATTTGCAGTTCTAACTCTACCTACGCTGCTTGTGAAAGCAGTCCACATTTCTGCAGACTTTTAAAGGACTATGTAAAACGCAGATGAAAGTGGATTTTCCCAAGCCAAAAAAGTGGAAGAGAAATGGTATTGATGAAGTTGGAAAGAAAAAGTGTGAACACACGTCACTAACCAGCACAATATCTACTTTTGTGTAGCATGATGGTGATTTCCCAATGTTACATTTGTAAACAGGGAGTGAACACCAAACACTAGAACTCATGAAACTATGTATGAAATACATTTCCTCACACTCACTGGACATGTCGTTTTATTTTTTTGCAAAACATTGTCCAGTTTTGAGGCTCTTACAGCCTCATTCACCCCACTTCTGGCATTTAAGCCCACATAGTTGGCTAAGGTCTGTGAGGCCTCAGTGCTTACGGCCTAGGGTGGACATGGTGGAACAAGCTGTCGATCCTGGAGGTGTCCAGCAACATGCTATGATTTGACTCTAAACTTGACCGCTTCAGATATATTTCTGTGTAATTGCAGTGTTAGAGCATGCATCTCTGGAAGAACCTGATCTCAACTTATTTTAATTTCCTTGTTTACTCCGCTCTTTGTCACGGATTGAAATCCCATGTCCATGCGAGACACAAACATGTGTATAATTGATGAATGAAAGCTATAAAGCAGCCCCTCAGAGATCATACCATGGCTGCTGGGGGGGGGGTGTGTGTGTGTGTGTGTGTGTGTGTGTGTGTGTGTGTGTGTGTGTGTAAGCAAGCATGCATGCGTGTGCTTCTACACAAAAACCCTACCAAAGTGACGAGTAAAATCTGGGGAGGAAAGCAGTTGTTGTTGCAGATGGAAGAGAGTGTGAGAGGGAGAGAGATGGGATACCTTGCCCTGGCACCTCAGTTGGGTGGAGCCAGACAAGAACATGCATAATTAATAACACACAGATCTGGGACATGCTACATCCCACTCTGTTTCTGATAAATCAACCCAGGAGGGTGTCTCTCTGTAGTATCACAAGGTGTCTGCAATTTGTATTTAATTTTTATTCAAGACCTACAGTATCAGGTCAAAGTTTAGAGTGAATTTAAGTGAGGAAAATTTCAGAGCCAACTACAGGAAACACAACAGGGCTCTTGCTTGGTTATTGGCTAGGTTTTAGCCAGGTTTAAATCAGTGTTTATTAGAACAAACAATCAAAATTAAGTTAAAAAAAAAAAAACACCCTCTTTAGTCCTGCTTCAGAGTGTGTTGTAAGTTGTTTTTACTCTTTCCACCGAGGCAGTATGTGCACATTTGTTGACACACCGTTTCAATTTTGTTTGTGCAGAACGGCGAGGCCAAGCTGGGCCCTCCCATTATCATGTGTTCGCGGGCCTACCCAGAATGCAGTGCGTATGGTGAGGGTTGTGGTGCTGACGGGGAGTGTGACATGGACAGCAGCGCTGAAAACGGCAACAGCTCGGACTCTCTGGACCCAAGACGGCAAGACAGGTCAGTCACAACACTGTCTGTGGCCCCTTATTACGGCCACTTAGCTGTTCCTCGAAAGGAAAGGACAATGACGCCTGTAAGAGAAGAGGTTACTTTAAATTTCAGGGTGATGTTTTATCTGATGGTTAAAGCGTTTTTTGTTTTTTTTTTTTTTTGTTTTTTAAACTGACCCACCCTTCCTGCTTTGAAAACCTAGCCACCTGATTGGCTCTGCGTCTGTCATCTCCGGGGAGGAGCAGTTTGAGGACTATGGTGAGGGGGAGGATGTGGATTTTACCCCCAGCAGTCCTTGCCCTGAAGATGACACCCGAACAAATGGCTTCTCAGACCTGGGATCTTCCCTTCCCTCCAGGTTGGTGGTCTTACTAGAAGGACACACCCTGAAGCACATACGGTCATATCTTGAAGCCGTGAGTGGGCAGACATTTTGACTTGTCACAGAAGGAAAAGCGCTGTCTCTCGGTTCCATGCTTCATTCTGATTCTAAGCAAGTTTCAGTGTGTAGTATTTTCACACTGGGGGGAAAAAAAGAATACTCTGAATCCTGACTAGTTCTGATATTATGCAAATGTAAGCAACAATAACCTCACAAGATCAAAGTGGCTGCAGTTTTTGGAACCATGTGCCACAGTTGCTCTCCACTAGGGCTGCAACTAATGATTATTTTGATAGTCGATTAATCTATCTATTATTGAAAGGAATAATTGACTATTCGGATTATGAATCGCAAAATAGCACAATGCTTCTCATTTAGCTATTAGCCTTTAAATTAAACCTGAGTTTATTTTAGGCATGTGCTTAATTAACAGTCAAGACAATAAAATAAATGCTGCTTTCAAAAATGTATCTTTTTTTTAATGAACGTTTCTGCTGCATTAACGTGAAGCTAGCTCACTAACTACCTTACGAGACGAGTCATCATCCATAGAGTAGGGCTGGACAATAAAACTAATTATCGCAATTATTTTTTTTCAATAACAATATAACAAATGTTCAATAAATGAAAAATAAATGATTTTATTTACTTGTATCATACACAAATTAGGACTTTTTTTTTAATTAAGATGTTTGTTGAGGAAAAATGACTGAATAAAGCTTTTACTGAATTGTACTCTCGAATATTTGTTCACAAAGATTTTATCAATTGTTTTTAATGTTCTACCTCAGATTTGCAAAGTGATCCACTGTTTGGCATCAAGTGTTGACCATAGATAAGATGCCTGCCTTTGGTGTGGGAGACCTGGGTTCAATCCCCCACTGTAACCCATCCACCATTGTGTCCCTGAGCAAGACACTTAACCCCTAGTTGCTCCAGAGGCGTGTGACCTCCGACATGTATAGCAATTGTAAGTCGCTTTGGATAAAAGTGTCAGCTAAATGAATAAATAAAGAAGAGTTTCAACCACAGTTAACCATCAGGTTTCTTCAACTTTCACTCAGAAGCAAAAATCAGCCTTTAAATTTGAAAGAAATAACAATTTGATACTTATCGTGAAAATTATCGAAAGAGATGAAACTTTTCATCATGTTAACTTTTTTGGCCATATCGTCCAGCCCTGCCACAGAGACACGATGTTACGCGCCTCCTCTTCAGATGCTCCGGTGTTTTCCAGGAGAGCTCAGCTTTGCTGCCGTTCACAACCTTTCTGGCTGAGTGAAGAGTGAAATGCTGCCACACAGGTTTAGGTTGTGAAAGTGTTACTGCAGCTCTGATATTTTAGTAACTTTAGCGTTACTGTTCACATCACTTTATTCTGTTAAGCTGACGGTGTCACTACGGCCTGATGACATGAACAAAACGATTATTAAATCAGATTTTTAGTTGATTTATTTATTTATTTTTAATTACACTCCACCAACTACAAAACAAGACATGATGGGGAAACGTCCTTCTCTCCCCTGATGTAAGAGATGATTGGTAAAGATGTTGGATCAATGGCATGATGTTTTTATAGAAACATTTGTGTTAAATTCGGATTCTGCAATATCTGAAGGTTTTTGTTTTCTGTTAACAGAATGTTTTGGTCAATCTTGATTTATCAGCCAGAGGCTGAATACATTTACCTCATATTACAGACAGTTCTCATAGATCGCAGGTGATTTACACTCATCTACAAGATGAATATTAGTTATTTAATTCGTTAAGTACCATGAAGCAACACAAAACGTTTGCCAACAGGTGGGATGAGAGAATTCTTAAAATGACATCTGATGTAAACCTCTGTCTAAATATCAATAATGAACAGGGTTTTTTTTGTGCCTCCCTGTGTTTTTTGATAATTGTGTTATGTCTTGAATTTCTTTATCTTTAGAAGGACAGGCCCTGCAATCACGTCTGGGCAGCTGATTTATATACAGCACTAGCCCATCTAGGTCTTCAAGGGAAACATTTTGTTATATTGAGATTAAACCATAAACACTGATCATAGATAGCCTATATAGCATTTTTATGGGTGACCCTGTCAGACAGAAAAATCATTAAAGCAAAATTTTTGGGGGCCAAGTAAAAACAGAATAGATTGTCTAACATTTTAATAAATTGGGATTAGATCGAACGGGAAGTGAGTGTTGCTGTTCAGACAGTGAAGGCTGCTGGAAACTTTCTGTTTTGGCTGCAGCTTTTTGTCACTGCTGCTGCCTGCTCCACTTTCCAGGCAAGGCCCAGTTCTTCTCGATCGGGCCTAATGTCTGCTGTGAAACCGGTCTTTTAACGGTGTTCTTGTTGACATCATCAGTTCAACCAAGCTCTGTTGATTTACACTTTATCACTAGTATATACTTGTATTGTCAGAAAATAAATTAAACTCAAAGGCCCACTTTCTAGCTTTGCTTGGAGCTCTGTCTTTTAACTGTAAGGTATATTTACAATAATACAAAATCTAATATGCATCAGACTTCCCCCCTCCACATTTATGTGTATACATTTAAAGTGGTGTATCTAAGTGGGGTAACATCTGTACATATAAAGAGCCAAAGGTGGATTTTGATTCTTAGACCTAGGATTTTTTTTTTTCCCAAAAGCTATTGCATCTTATCTTTTAAAATTCTACGTAGAACCAGTGCCACAGATGGATTACCAAACCGCTTGCTGAGATAAGAGTATTCTCCCTGCAATGACCATGGATGCTGACTGGCCAGTCAACTAAGGAGCTATTTAATAGCTTTCTTACTTACATCTATCAATGTTTTTAGTATCTTTTTATATTTTGTTCTATATATTGTTGTTTTCTTTGTCTTCAGTGCTGGGCAGACACCTCAGAAGATGCGGCAGCTGTATAACAGTGAGCTGCTGGACATCTACTGTTCTCAGTGCTGCAAGAAAGTGAATCTCCTCAATGACCTGGAGGCTCGACTTCGAAACCTTAAGGCCAACAGGTATAGCACTTAACACATGGATACACGAGCATGAGCACCACCAAGTGAGTGGGATCAAACGGTAATGGGAAGATGCGCTCAAGCTGCTGCCTCAGCATCGCCCCGATTTATAATGATACACAGAAGCCATCCACCCAAATCCCACCTTCTTATTCATTCTTGGCACCAAACGCTGCACCCACATCAAAGGGTGAGCCTGAGCTGTTGCTATAGCAACCAAATCCCAATCTGGTGGGGTGGCTGGTTGCAAGTTTTTGTGTGAGATGCAATCCAACACAGCTATAAAGAAATGTTAGTGAAAAAGCACATTGCCGACAAATGAGTGTCTGTGCTAGGGCTGGACAATATAACAATAATTATCGCTATATATTTTTTTCAATAACAATATAACAAATGTTTTATTCACTTGTATCATACACAAATTAGGACTCTTTTATTAAGATGTTTTTTGTTGAGGAAAAATGACAAAAGCTTTTACTTAATTTTACTTATATTTATTTAATATTTGTTCACAAAGATTTTATCATTGTTTTTATTGTTCTACCTCAGATTTGTGAAGTGATCCACTGTTTGGTATCAAGTGTTGACCATAAAGAAGAGTTTAAACCACAGTTAACCATCAGGTTTCTTCATCTTTCACTCAGAAGCAAAAATCAGCCTTTTAATTTGAAAGAAATAGATTTGATACTTATCGTGATAATTATTGATATCAAAAGAGATGAAACTTTTTATCGTGATAACATTTTTGGCCATATTGTCCAGCCCTAGTCTGTGCCCATTGGAACAGTTCAACTTTAAGTGATTTGATGTATTTTAAAAAAACGGTTATTGTAGCAGCAGTAGTAGGAATAGTAGCGGATGGAAAACGAATTCTGTTAAACAGAATACGGTCTTATTGTGTGTGTGTCTCTCTTGTGTTTCAGCCCTAATAGAAAGATTACCAGCACAGCATTTGGACGGTGAGTGAACTGACCTTCCTGCTATTAACATTTTTGTATAAATAAAAATACTGCAGTGACTCGGCATATGCATAGAAAGAGGATGCCGGCCAGTCACTTGTAACAGATCGCAATGATGGGTTCAGCATTTAGCAGGGTGATAAATGGAGTCGTATAATGGAAGAGCAGTTTCAGAAGCTGGCACAATCTGTATATGATCATCATCATCATGTAGAGGGGGTAATGATGTCCTCTGTCTGTGCTCTTGGTTTCTAATTTGTCTCCTCCTCCCTGCAGTCAGCTTTTCCAGGCCAACCACAGTGTGTTTGGGTCCAGTCAGGGCAGCAGCACCGAGGATCTGTTCACAGACAGCATTGACTCCTGTGACCTCGACATCACAGAGAAAGTACAAATACACACACGCACAAATAAAGGTTGCTGTTGTACATTTTGGATGAAAGTCAGTTATTAGCCCAATTATGGTCTGCTTGTTCCAAATCTCTGTTTTCCCAGATGGATCATTTTAGCAACCTAGGAATCGTAGTACAATTCTTATAGGGTGTGTGCTCCGTTTCAACTCTTTTTAATCTGGCTCTGCAGAGACTGACAAACTTATGACCTTGTCTCCTCAGCCTTTGAAGGGAAATGCTGACATGCTGCAAAATACACGTGTACTGTCATGTTTAAACCCGTTGAATAAAAGCAGGATCCTAGCTGACAGCTAACTATACCTCTTGACCTTGTGTGCATTGAGTTACATTTACTTGAGTATAGGTGTGCGTAATAAAAGGGCTTGTAAATTAGGAATGTCTGAGGCAAAGTATAGCAAACAGCAGGTGCTCATTTCCACCTGAGCTCTGCTGTGTGTGCAGAAGGATGAGTTAAAAGCCTGGTTGTCTCCCCCAGGTCACTTATCTGGAGAAGAAGGTGACAGAGTTGGAAAGCGACAGTCTGGCTAACGGTGACCTGAAGTCTAAACTCAAACAGGAGAATACACACCTTGTACACAGGTAGGGAAATGCACACAATGAATCCTTTTTATATATTAAGTTGGCCTAAAATAAGTCATATTTACTCTTGAATGATTCCACATGTGAAAACCTTTATTTCATGTGTGAAATGTCCAAAAACCACATTATGTTTATATTTTAATTCATCACATGAGAAATGCTGTTGCTCATCAGTATAAAGCACACATGCCTGTACATTAATTTCAGTGTTTCACATGTGACTTTACGTGTGATGTATTATATTTCACATTATCTGAACAGTCAGTGTGCCTGTATGTTTTCTTTTACTTGTGAAATGTGATTAACATGTGAAATTTGGTCCACATAATTGCTAGATATGCTCTTTGTAAGACTAAAAAGATTCAGTATTATGTCTAATGGTTGGCTCTGTAGTTCTGTTTAACCTCATCTGGAACTCGCCTCATGTAGCGCTTTTTCTCACACTGTCGGTGTTTGCATCCCAGGGTGCATGAGCTGGAGGAGCAGGTGAAGGATGCAGAGGCGAGGGCAGAGCAGAGTCTGGAGGAGGAGACCAAGCGGCACCGTGAGGCATACAGCAAGATGGAGAGGGACAGAAACCAAGAGATAGACCTGCTCTGTAACAGGTAAACTCATCAACAATACCCAATGTCTGCCGGTGACATAAACATGCTAGCTAAATGGTTTGCTTAGTTGACTGTGTGGAAAAATAAGTGTAGTTCCTCTGGTAAAGCTTTTGCTTTTGTTAGGTTACTGTTGCTGCATCCATTTGTGGTGTTTTGATAACATTATGTCTGCAGCTCAACAGAGCTGCTGCTCCAGTAAATTAAGCTGTTGTCAGAATCTTGACAGACTACAATCTGATCCACAACTTGCAGTGCTTGGCATACATTTATCTGTTACATTCTGTGTTAGATGGTATTGCTACTTTCATTTGTTCAGTAATACTGAACTGTAAATGCTGTACTTGTAGCTCTAGTTCTGTAGGACACTGTACTGAAGCTGTGTGTGTGCATATACAGGGTACAACAGTTAGAGGAAGAGAATGGAGAGATGAAGTTAAATGTGTGCAGACTGAAGTCTCAGACTGAGAAGCTGGACCAGGTGAGTGTGATTCACTATAAGGACAACTCGGTTCATTATAACTTGGGTCTTTTGTAGTGTTTCAGTGACTAATATTGCAGTTACAATCAGACGGGTCTTAAACAAAACCCAGAGGTTAGTCAAGATTAATTTTAAAGAGTAAATTAATGCAAACAGTTAAAGTATTAGCCAAACTCTCAGCTGTAAACCTCCATAACAGTTTACAGATTGTTGTAGCCTATCACAGTGTTCCCAGATCTCAACAATTACTTATTATTACGGTTATTGTAACAAACAGAAACACTGGCCAAAAAAAAGACACACATTGTAATCAACCTCAATTATTCTTTAAGTGTGTGTGGTAAAAGTAGGGGAAGTGGTAAATTTGCTTGCCATCTCAGAACAATGGTTTCCTGCCCTCTTTCCTCTGCAGGAGAAGCAGAAGATGACTGATAAGCTGGAGGACACGAGCCTGAGGCTTAAAGATGAGATGGACCTCTATAGGAAAATAATGGACAAGCTCTGGCAAAACCGCCACGACTTTCAGAAGGAAAAAGAGGCCATGCAGGAGGTACGCTAGATAACAGAAATGTTACATTCAAAATATCTAGGAGTTCCATGAAATCTAAGCTTTTCTCTGCAGTTGATTGATGATCTCCGCCGGGAGCTGGAGTATCTGCAGTATTTTAAGCTGGAGATGGAGCATCCAGGAAAGGGCAAGGGGCTGTCGGAGTACAACGCCAGGACCAGAGAGATCGAAATGGAACATGAAGTCAAGAGACTGAAACAGGTTTGCACACACTCATCCTTGTTCTTCTGTCCTTTGGGGACTTTACATTCATTCCTGAGTGGCTTAGGTTTGTCATACTGGTTGCTTCAGTTCCACAAAAGTCTACTCAGAGAACATATGAAACATGGAGCATATAGACTGGAGATGGAACCTGTTGGAGCCTGACCAATATATTGGCAAGGACATTATTGGCCACTATTGGATTATCATATACATCAGCTGTCAAGTCAATATTATTTATATAGCCCAATATCACAAATTTGCCTCAAGAGGCTTAACATTCTATACAGCATACAAGGAAAATCTCACTGCAACGGGAAAAATAATGTGGATTAAAAATCTAAACACAAACGGGGGCATATTATTGCACTGGTGCTCCTAGTTATAACCATTAGAAGCCTCCAAAAATATTCGTAAAATGTGACTTAAATGGTCAGCGTGGACCCCTGCGGTTAGAGAGGCGCAGCGGTTCTCACAAAGTTCACAATATTCTCGTCTGCAGGACAACATGGACTGTAGTTATTAGAAATATGAGCTAATTGCAGGTAAATCTGTGTGTGTGACAGCGGATAAATGCCAATTAAAAAACGGAGAGACGAAGATGATTCTTCAATCGTGTTCTGAGTGGTGGTGTTGCATAGTTTGTCCAACAGAGGGCACTCTGCAACTCGAAACAAATGCTCCACAAAATCAGCTGACATAATCAGTACTGTTATAATAAAGATTCGTTTTTTGGTGAGGTCTCATTATTGCAGTGTGCTGGCAATCCAAGGTTTTCAAATAAACGGCTCAGGCAAACAGACAATTTTATTCAAGTCTTCTGCAGAAGGAACTCACTGGGACACACACATCAAAGTTTAGCTGGACCCATTCTAAACCACAAACCCACAATACTGTTTTTCTCAACACAGTGTACTAAACGGGACATGAAGGGTGTCTGTTGCACATCCCTGATTAATGATTTAATCAGTAACACTTGCCCTTTTAATTAGGTGCAATTGGTAATTTATCCATCTATGGAATTTAGTACTGTCCATTAGAAGTACATTGCGATCTGCTATCAATCCCACAATGCATTGTGTTAACATTTTATAGATGCCCTCTCCAGCTGTCGGTGATGACACAATGTCTCCGAAATCTCAATTTAACACTTACTAGCTAGAGTAAACTGAAGAGTGTGTATCCTATAGGTAGTAGTGAATGAGGGAGTGATTTCGAATGAGCTCTTGTTGTCACTGTTACTAGGCAACCAGTGGAGACTCCTGGAAGTCACAGCGCCTGGCCAGAACTATATTTGGTACCATTTGATGCTGGACAGCACAGAGTTCCCTGGGCGTGTTGGTCACACTGCAACTGTAGAATGTTTATCCAGAACCCCTTCTAAAAGGAACTGTTCTCTTTTCTTTTTTTTTTTCCCCTTTAAGGAGAACCATAAGCTACGGGATCAAAACGACGACCTGAACGCTCAGATTCTCAGTCTGAGTTTGTACGAGGCTAAGAACCTGTTTGCCTGTCAAACCAAGGCCCAGTGCCTGGCAGCTGAGATTGACAACGCATCCAGAGATGAGGTTAGTCTGCTGCTGCTGCTGGTGGCACACTGACGTTTGATAGGATTGCTTTTCTAATGCATTTCTCGTTCTCCGTCTCTCGCAGCTGGTCGATGCTTTGAAGGAGCAGGAGGAGATCAACCTGCGTCTGAGGCAATACATGGACAAAATCATTCTGGCCATTCTTGACCATAACCCCTCCATCCTGGAGATCAAGAATTAAATGGCACACACGCGCAAACCTTTAAATTACTGTAGTTGTTGGGATCTTCCATTACCTAACAACTGACTTAGCTTGTACTTTTTTTTTTTTTTTTTAAAGTTATAATCCTATTGCTGAAAAAAATGCCAACCATGAATAATATCAAAAAGGGGTTTTTGATTATTTTAAGGATTGTAACTTTAATCTGGAGCCCAAATTATGAATGTCCTAAATGTTCTCACCACTCATGACTCAAACTGTGGCTCACAGATGTACATTCTCTGGCGCACACACATACGCACACACCCCCACATCAGAAAATCTTCGTTCACTAGAACCAAACCAGCCAATCACTGTAGAACAACTGTGCCATGATTAATCTATCAACAGTGTTTTATAATTGTATATGTGAAACTACTGGAAAATATTTGGGAATGCACGAAGCAGTATTTTGATCTTTTAGGCACAGTACCAATTGTTCAATACAGTGCTCTACAATTATTGATTTATAACTGGGCTGTCACTCACTGAGGATTCAGACTAAAACAGAGGCTAGATTTAAGGAGTGTGGGACATAAAACAATTAGCGATTTAAATGTCCATGCCAGTGTTTTGCATGTTTTCTACTGTCCATTTGCCAAAGCAGTGTCCGTTTCACATTTTGTGATTTTACCATCTCACATGAAACCATGAGTTTCCTTCACTTCATGGTGGTATGAAAATCAATTCACCGAGACTTGAAAGTCTTTATCATTGTCAAAATCTGAATATTGTGTGGCAATGCAGAGTAGATTTTTCGAACCATTATGCATTTATAAATGCAAGTTGACTTTCATACTGTATGGGAATGAGTGGAAGCATCAAAGGAACACTTAAAGGAATGTTCAAAATGTGGGGAATTGGATTATTTCTCATATCTTTAAGTACGTAGAAGGTGGTTAGCTTAACAGAAAGACTGAAAGTAGGGGGAAATGGCTAGCTGTAAAATAACAAGTTGTAGTTTTTAAGGGACTCATGGTTTGGAACTTTTTCTTGATAAGTTTGTCCCTCCGCACAGAACTATTAAAAATCTGAAACGAAAGATCTGTAAAATGGTCAAATAAAAAGTAAAGTATTTGTATAAATGTAGTAGATGGATGTATAAACACTGACACTGGCCTTTTTAAGTGACACACTCAAGTTCTCTGTTTTTAGCTTCTAAACCTTTAATTTGGCTGTCTCAGTACAACTGAATGTCTATATTTTTAGTAGCTATGTCATTGAGCCTGTGAGGTGCAAGTTAGTGCTGTGTTAAACCAGTATGGGTTTCTGAAGACCACTTATGATAAGGGTATTTAAAGGTGCCAAGAGCCAGTATTATGTGCCAAATCCTAACATGTTTACTTTTTCACTCACTCAAAGGCACTCTGTAGAGATTTTGACCAATACAGTAGTAGTGCTGTGGAGCAGTGTTGTTTTGTATTGTACATGCACGTGGCCAACACGACGTATATGCTGCTGTTGGTTTGACACTATTACGCTGATCAACAGTTGGTGTTGGTAATTAAACGCAGGGAACAAAGGCAGTGACGAAGACTGCAAGTTAGCAAACATGGATGTAAGCTATGGAGGACAAAATCAGCTTTGTAAAAGGGGAAGAAAATGCACTTAATGTTTTATTAGACCTGAAGGGGATGTTCTTTTTGGTGTGTAACACTAACCAAACTTTGTTAGAAGAAAACTCTACAGGCCACCCAAGTACAGTTCGTTCAGTTACTTAGCCTATTACAAACAAAATGTCAGAAATCCGATATTGATATGTATTAATTAGGATTGGTTCCAAATATTGAGAAAAATTTCATACTTTAACTTTCTAGCGCTCTTCAGGGGGAAAAAAACTTAATAAGCAACCTACTGATTTCAAACGGAAACGCAGTTGATTTCTGCTTTTGGTGTGAAAGGGAACCACTTTATTCTACCAATGTTGTAAATTAGTCTCACTTTAAATAATTGAACCTCAATATATAACCTAAATATTTTTTCACAGATCCTTACACCCAACTAGATAATCTAGCCAAACACACTAAAAATGTGTCACAGTGAGGAGAGCAGTATTATAGTGAGCACTATATTAAGTTACAAATGAAAGTTTTGCTCCATTGCACAAATTGTTTACCTGGTCATTCTTTTTCATAGATTATTTGCTTGTTCTTTCACAGGTTCTGTGCATTTGCATAAAAGCTATGAGACCATATTTAAGCAGACAAGCTGTGATTGTCAGTTGTTGCCATTGAGCTTTTTTATATATTGACATTCTTACTTTGACACAGTATTTGTGATTACATAAATTGTAAATGTTGTACAGAATGTAGTTACTATTTATGTGCAAGTCATTCTGCTTATTAAAAAGTCTCAGTTTTGACACAAAGAAATGTGTTGTAGATTATCATATAAACTCAAATATATATTCTAGCACACTTAAAAGTGTCTTAGCCAAAGTATTTACCTGTAATAATTATATTAAACATGATGGAAAAAAATAGTCTGTCACAACTTAGACATGTTCACTTCGATTTATTTTACATGTGTATCTCACTTGGAATTATGGGTGACTGTTATTCAAGCTAGATGTGTAAATAAAATCCATTCACTTTGGCATGACAAAGTCAGCCCTGCTTGGTGGTTGTCTCTCCAGTAGGAATCCTAGCTCTGCTGTCCGGTTTGAGAGTTGGTAGAAAAATACCTCAGTAAATGAAACTGTGAACCAGATTAAATGATTTGGAAATTCATTTATAACTTATTTTCTGCATTCCTTAATTCTTGGACAGGGCACCAGACGATGGTTCTCTCTGGTACTTTAATACACAGCAATTTGCTCGGTTTTTCCAGTTTATTACGTTTGCCTACTTGGCACATTGCCAATAGTGGTGTGTCTGTAAGCCTTGGTCAGATTAGCCTTTGGTTGTCGATCCCTCTCCTGCTCTTTGTGCCCTTGCAAATGTGCCCTGTCACCTCCAACTTCCAAGTTGGTGCAGACAAAGACCCCAAAACCATCCAGCACTCCAGTTGATTTAAAACAACTGTATTTAGGATTACAGTTACTGTGTGTGTTAGCCCATATGTAACAACAACCTCTGCAAAACAAGGACACAACACAAAGTATAGGCCTTTTAAACAGCAGACAGTTTACTTATAGTAGGGAAATCCAGAAGGTTTCTAACAATAGGCTACTTTTGTTCTATGTAAGTGTCCAGTAAGTCAGCATGAACAATACAATGTCCCCGAAACTGAAGCCGTTAAATTTGGCTATCATGTTTTTTTATTAACACTGGTGCTTTTCCTACTGTCACATGTTAAAATGAAAAAGGCCTAGGCTATTATAATTTATTGGTGCAAATTCCCAAATAATGTAATGACTTGAAATACAGTACGTTGTAGCACCAAACAAGATTTAAAGTAACCTACACTAGTTCTTACTAAAAAGGACTTGAATTAAAACGGCAAGCGATGTTCAATATTTTATTTAAAACATCCATACATGTAATTACAATGATTTTTTTGAAAGATTTTAGGAGTCAGGAAGGCAGAAGGATACATGCGTTTTAAATGTCAGAGAGCCATTTAATGGATAAATACAGACTACGTGGATGTTCTCTACTCACTGTGTTTCTCAGCTGAAGTGGTAGACTATCTGCTGGACTGACTAACATTTGGTTTATGCCTTCTGAGGCATTCCTGGTGTCTTGGTTTTATTTCCCACAGATGTACTGTACTCACTGGTATGTTCCACATAGTATCAAATATGATTTAATCTAAAGTAGAGTAATCCAACAACAGATTTGATTAAATGCAAAAAAACCTGCAAATTACATAGTGCTTGATAGAAGACACGCGCGTTTCATTAGCTGCCATCCGTACCCAACATAGACTGGGAATTTACTATTACTAACCTCTAGAAGACCAGGGCCATTACAAACTAAAAAGGCTAATTCCCCAGACCTGACTTAGTTACAGTTGGGAGGAGTAAAGCTTATGTATGTGTCAAGTTGTCTAGAATGTCTCTTGGGTACACTTACATGTAGCTTTTTTGATATTCCGAAAGTTATCCATTCCGGACAAAGATGTATGAAGTGATTAAGAGTAAATGGGTCTTCGCTGCATTAAGAGGGGCTGGGTGGGGGGTATGCTAAAAACAAACCCCACTTCGTACGTTGTGTTGAAGAAACAAATGTGCATTGCCAAAAAAACAGCAACTTAAGCTAAAAAAAACAAACAAGCTACTGATTATAAAATGACCCAATCAGTAATTTTAAAAACTTCTTGACACAGTTCGTTTTTGGCCAAGTTTTCGGTTCTCTCTTTGAAATGACAAGAGGATGTAAGACTAAATCATGCCTACATATGTGTTGCCTCAGCAGGGATGATATTACATGACAGAGATCTGAAAGCAACACAATGCTTGACAGCTGCACTGCAGTATATTCGATAATATTTTGTTTCCTTTTAAATAAATATATTTCCACCAGAATGCAGGAGATTAAGTGTTTAATGATCAAAATTTCCTGGCGGAGGTCCCCACAGACCTCATGTATCTTGGTATGGAAGATATCTTTAAAACACTGTTTAAGAATCTCTTCGTCACGTTCTGGTGAACCTAATATCGTGTATCGTGACATCTCGCGAACTAAGAGTCTCTTCGCACCCCTTATCTGAGCCCGTGTCCCCACCACTTTTCAAAACAAAGTGACGCCTTTGCTCTACCTCGTTTTATATCTGACAGAGATAAACTGATGATACACACTTGAATGATTCAAACCCGAACGCAGGATAGAGGGGTTCAGTGAATGTGCAGTGGAAGGTGTGGAGGTGGATCAGCGTGTCAGAGGAGACTCTGTAGAAGGACAGAGTGCCAGCAGGCCAGTCCAGATACACTGCTACTCTGCCGGCGTCAAAGGAGGGGTGGATGGGTATGACTGCTCTTCGGTTTTTGTGGCAGGCGGAGTAACTATTATCACAGCGTAACAGACTCCAGGACTTGCCGTTCTGTCCGATCCAGCAGTCGTCATCCTCTCCTTTCCTTTTGATTCCTTTGTATGCCACTCCAATATTAACCCATCCTTTCCAGTCCACCTCCCAGTAACAGCGCCCAGTCAGACCTTCTCTACACAGGACCTGCTTCCAGTGGTGAAATCTCTCTGGATGCTCAGGGTACGGCAGCTTCTCCAACACCTCTGTCACCTTTCTGTTGTCCTCGGACAGAGAGAGCTTCCTGTTTGCTGTGTTTGGGTCCAGTGTGAGGTCACAGGCGTCTGGTGGGGAGAATAAGAGCACGCACCATCACTTTACACCCTTTACAATCCATACATCGATTTATGTATTGACAGTTTGACAAACACTCTAAAGTCACATATCAGCCAGCAACCTTACAAGAAAAACTGGAACGGTGCTTTTTTTTTATGAATCAAGGTAGATAAACACACACTTACACTTTCTGGGACCTGACTTCAGCCTCTCCACTCCACCATGTTCCACACTGGGGAAGAGAAATAGAAGTCAAATTCTCATTTATTAAAAACAATGTCAGAAAGGTGGGACACATCTGTGAGACCTACATGTGCAGCAAGCGCCCAATCACAAAGAAAATGGAACAATAAAATACTAAAATTAGCCAGTAGAGGTGATTTGGGCGGCTAGAATGGATACCTCTTTCCCTGTAGGGCAGACTACAGGGTGACGTTAGAATGGAAATGCTAGAGTGATCACACCCTTCTGGCCTTGGAGGGCTTGGGGATCCCCCGAAACAAACATGAGAAAGTCACCAGCGAAAAGGCCTGTTGACGCAGTGATTGTGACCATTGTAGGCAACTCATAAATGATGGAATAAGTGCCTGGCAGGAAGTCTGTCCATACCTGAGAGTAGTTAATTGCGAGCGTGGATCCTCCAGGACAGCGGAGAGCAGCTTCATGCCTGAGTCACCTGGATGGTTGTAGCTCAGGTCCAGCTCTCTCAAATGGGAGGGGTTACTGCTCAAAGCTGAGGCCAGGGCAGCACAGCCTTCCTCTGTGACCAGACAGCCTGACAGTCTACCAACACAAATAGCAACACATTATTTTGTTCCGCTGGATCTTAAGGAGTTTCTGAATCCTACCTAGGAGATCTTGACCAGTAAGACTTGTGCTTGACACAGACTCAGGACACAGAAACAGTTTTGTTTTTTTGTTTTTTAGATCATAGGACACTGACCTCAGAGATTCCAGTCTACATTGTGGACTCCCTAGTCCAGCAGAGAGTAGCTTCACTCCTGAATCCTGCAGATTGTTGTTACTCATGTCCAGCTCTCTAAGACTAGAGGTTTTGGAGCTAAGAACTGATGCCAGAACTTCACAGCTTCTCTCTGACAAGTAACAGTCGTTCAACCTGAGAAAGCATGAATACAAACAATGTATCTTTTAGTTTATCTTATGTAAAAAGTCTTGTTTAATGTACATTATTTGGTTAGCAGTGTTCCTACAGAGAAATTCTGGAGATGTGGACCACTGGCAGCAGCCTCAGGAGACCTTCCTCTGAAGCAGAGTATTTCCTCAAGTCAAACACTTCCAGGTCTTTCTCTGATGACAGTAAGATGAAGACCAGAGCTGACCACTGAGCAGGAGAGAGCTTGTCTGTGGAGAGACTTCCTGAACTGAGGCACTGTTGGATCTCCTCCACTAGAGAATGATCATTCAGCTCATTCAAACAGTGGAACAGATTGATGCACCTCTCTGGTGACGGATGATCCCGGATCTTTTCCTTGATGTAGTGTACTGTCTCATGATTGACATATGAGCCACATTCTGTCTGTTTCAACAGACCTCGTAGAAGAGTCTGATTGGTCTCCAGTGAGAAACCCAGGAGGAAGCGGAGGAACATATCCAGGTGTCCATTTGGACTCTGTAAGGCATTGTCCACTGCAGTCTGGAAGATCGTTTTTTCGGTTGATCTGAATGTTAATAGCTTAAGCCACCACCAGGATCTTGATTGTGGTTCTGACAGTAGATTGACACCAGTGTTGGTGAATGTGGCAAAGACATAGAGAGCAGCCAGAAACTCCTGAAAGCTCAGATGGACAAAGCAGAATACCATGTCCTGGTACAGCCCACACTCCTCTTTAAAGATCTGTGTGAACACCCCTGAGTACACTGAGGCTGCCCTGATATCAATGCCGCATGCTATCAGGTCTGATTCATAGAAAATCAAGTTGCCTTTCTGCAGCTGCTCAAAAGCCAGTTTTCCCAGAGACATGATGATCTTGCTCGTCTCGGTGTTCCAGAGTGTATTTGTCTCAGCTCCTCCGCGATATTTGACATTTCCTATTTTTGACTGAACCACCAGAAAGTGGATGTACATATCAGTCAGGGTCTTGGGGAACTTCCCATTTTCATTTTCTCTCAGTACATGGTCTAAAACCGAGGCAGTGATGCAGCAGAAGACCGGGATGTGGCACATGATGTGGAGGCTTCGTGATGTCTTGATGTGGGAGATTATTCTGCTGGCCTGCTCCTCTTCTCTGAATCTCTTCCTGAAGTACTCCTCCTTCTGTGGGTCAGTGAACCCTCTCACCTCTGTCACCATGTCAACACACTCAGGAGGGATCTGATTGGCTGCTGCGGGTCGTGTGGTTATCCAGAGGTGAGCAGAGGGAAGCAGTTTCCCAGCGATGAGGTTCGTCAGCAGCACGTCCACTGTGCTCGGCTTTGTAACGTCAGTCAGGATCTCATTGGTGTGGAAGTCTAGAGGAAGTCGACACTCATCCAGACCGTCAAAGATGAACAAAACATTAAACTTGTCAAATTTGTAAATGTCTGCTTCTTTGGTCCAAGTAAAGAAGAGATGAAGAAGTTCAACCAAGCTGTACTTTTTTCCACTCAGCAGATTCAGTTCTTTGAAAGTGAATGGAAATGTGAACTGAATGTTGTGGTTGGCTTTGTCTTCAGCCCAGTCCAGAGTGAACTTGTGTGTTAAGACTGTTTTCCCTATGCCAGCCACTCCCTTTGTCAGCACCGTTCTGATTGGCTGATGAGCTCTGCCAGGTAATGGTTGGAAGATGTCTTCACATTTGATCATAGTGTCTGGTCTTGATTGCTTCATGGATGATGTTTCAATCTGTCTGATCTCATGTTCGTCATTGACCTCTCCACACCCTCCCTCTGTAATGTAGAGCTCTGTGTAAATGTCATTCAGAGGTGTGATGTTTCCTGCTTTAGTAACTCCCTCAAAAAAACTGTGGAATTTCTCTTTCAGGTGAGATTTGAGCTTTTGTTGGCAAATAGGAACCACAGCTTCTGAAAGAACAAACAGAAGAAAAAAGTAAATGTGAACTTTGCGTGGGAAGCAGATAGGCTACCGTACATTTTCACATTAAGGATGAATGTACACTGAACAAAATTATAAATGCAACACTTTTGTTTTTGCCCCATTCATCATGAGCTGAACTCAAAGATCTAAGACTTTCTCTATGTACACAAAAGGCCTATTTCTCTCAAATATTGTTCACAAACGTCAATATCTGTGTCAGTGAGCATTTCTCCTTTGCCGAGATAATCCATCCACCACACAGGTGTGGCATATCAAGATGCTGATCAGACAGCATGAAGCATGAGTATTGCACAGGTCTGCCTTAGGCTGGCCACAATAAAAGGCCACTTGCATCACACAGCACAATGTCACATCAGCGTCTACAGTATATCTCATAAAAAAATCACATCCTTGGGTTGTCACTTAAATAACCTTATCAGTATGATAGTTCCATTACAGTCATTGGACAAGGCATTCAATGAGTACTGACGTTGAGCAAAGATGCAGTGCTCCTCTGCTTTAGAGCAGAGTACACATCTTTTCTGCTTTGAGGTAAGCAATATTGAACCACTGTTCTTCTGAAAGTAGTATGCCTATTGGATTTGTCTGACAAATATTTTGTCACTAATGGCTGAAACTGGAGATTTAATAGCCTAAACTTTCACAATCGCAAATTAGCACACCGGCCCTCCATTAACTGCACTACACCAACTACTTGGCAATACTAGCCCCACATTAGCTAGCTAGTTTGATTAGTCAGTTGACCCTTAGTCAGTTGGAAATGGCATATTCCTCCCAGTGAAGAAACGCATGTGAACTCAATCTTAAAGGCTCAATCTTATGCACTTGTAAGAATGCAGCATTTCATATGTATTAATTGCTTTGTAATGTCAATTTGTGAACGGAATATAACATAACATAAAAATTGAGAACTTCCACACTTTCTCAGTTGCCTGTAACAGCCTGTGGACTGATTTCTATGTTTAGGACTCAGGACAGCTTTTCAGTGAAAACCCAAGGATGTGATTTTTTATGCGAGCTCTCCTCTTCAGCTCCCCTACAGCTTCAACAGTAGCTGTTTCTCAGTCTGCGTTCTTTTCTGTTATTTAGGACTTGTGAAACATCATCAGTCACAGCCCAAGTACCATTCCAATTCAAAAGTCCGCATCTAGCCAAATACAGTCAAATACCCGGATGTGTTCCCGCTCTGCCCGTTTTACCAAACCTGCTTCGGTGGTGACTTGTGTGGACTTCGTATAGCCAGGTATCCCAGAATGCATTTTGCTGCCAAAAAGTGGAAATGTCGGAGGAGAAAACTATAACTAACTATAAGTTATAATTCTGCTGTTACTGTGTCACGGAATGCAGTTTTAAGAGTTTTTATGCGGGAATATAGTGACAGTCTGAACTTGGGGAACTCGGTATTGAGAAACAGCTAGTGTGTAGTTAACGTTAGCTTAGAAATGGAATCCGCTAACATTAACAAATGACCGGCACCCACCACGATACAGAACACAAAGTCTAAAGTCAAAGCTAACATTACTGCAAAGCATATGAAATATATTGTTATATAGTGTTTTTAGCAGGCTAAAGTTAGCTAATGTTAGCTTGCTAACATGGACAAATTACTGGCTAGCTAACATAGCAAAATACTGTCTTGAGTAGATAATGTCAGTTAATTCATCCCAGACGCCTGGGGCTGATCTCGCTTGCTTGCCGTTTTTCAGCAGCTAACTGCTAACACTATCACTGAACCACATTTCACTGGTTTCACTATTAATGCAAATGTAGAATTTCTTTGCAATAGTTGGGAGAACTATTTTTTGTGGAGCCAATAACAAATTGATATAATTTACTGTGTCACCTAAGTGATTATAGGTTTTACTTGATGTATTTTACTTGATGCTATATAAATATCACATATCTCTTCTCTTTTTCCACCATTTCCACCATATTAAATATCTTACTGCTCTGCAGAGAGTCAGCCAGGTCATCCTGCTTCATTTTCCTCAGGAAGCACAGTGCGATTGTGAGAAAGGCCTCTCTGCTGCTCCTCCTCTGCTCTTCCTCCTCACTGTCCACTGAGTCTTCCTTTTTCTTCTGACCGTTCGAATCTTCAACTTTATCTGGACTGAGAACCATTTGAAAGGTTTTCAGCTCATTCTTCACAAACGTGATAATAGTCTCTTCAAGCAGCTGCAACATAATAACATGGAAAATAAACTTGTGAAACACAACATTGCAACCACATGGCATCAATTGCCTTTCAGAAATTGTAGCACGGATTGATTGTTGAGCATTGAGTTGGTGATGACTGTTGCATTTTGTTTCTCATTACATTTACATACCATAAATCTGGACTCCAGATCTGTTTGAAGCTTGTGGGCAGGGTCACCACTGGTAGTCTCTGATCCTCCCTGGGGGACTCTGAAAATGTGACATATAAAGTTGAAGGAAAAATAATGTAAACCCTTTGGAATTACCTGGATTTCTACATAAAATGTGATATGATCTTCATCTAAGTGACAACAATAAACAAACACAGTCTGCTTAAAGGAATACCACACAAACAGTTGTATGTTTTGATGTATATATTCAACACACCGTGTAAACATTCACAGTGCAGGGTGGAAAAGTATATGAACCCTTGGATTTAATAAATGGTTGACCATCCTTTGGCAGCAATAACCTCAACCAAACATTTCCCTATAGTTGCAGATCAGACCTGAACAAAGGTCAGGAGGAATTCTGGACCATTCCCCTTTACAAAACTCTTTCAGTTCAGCAATATTCTTGGGATGTCTTGTGTGAATCCAAAGCGACTCAGTCCTTTCACTTCCAAAGCGACTTACATCATATCATATCGATGGATAAAAGCGTCAGCTAAAATGAATAAATGTAATGTAAATGATAGCAACTCTTCCAGACCCTGTGGCAGAGAAGCAACCCCAAACCATGATTCCCCTTCCACTATACTTCACACTTGGAACAAGGTTTTGAAGTTGGTGTGCTGGGCCTTTTTTCCTCCACACATAGGGTTGTGTGTTTCTTCCAAACAATTAAATTTTGGTTTCATCTGTCCAGGTGCTCATTTGCAAACTTCAGACGTGCAGCAATGTTTTTTTGGAAAGGAGTGGCTTCCTTCTTAACCTTATTGAGCATTCTGTGCTGTGCTTATGCAGTCATCTTTGCAGGATGGCCACTCCTAGGAGAGTAGCAACAGTGCTGAACTTTCTCCATTTATCACCAATTTGTCTTACCATGGACTGTTGAACATCAAGGCTTTTATAAATAGGCCTACTTTTGTAACCCTTTCCAGCTTCATGCAAGTCAACCATTCTTAATCCTAGGTCTCCCGAGAGCTATTTTGTTAAAGGCATGGTTCACATCAGGCAATTAAAATTGGTGTCTGTTTTTTATAGGGCCAGGCAGCTCTAACCAACACCTACAATCTCATTTCATTGATTGGACTCCAGGTTGTCTGACTCCTGACCCCAGTTAGCTTTTGGAGATGTCATTAGCCTACATACTTTTCCACCCTGCACTTTGAATGTTAACACGGTTTGTTTAGTAAAAACATAAAAACATATTGTGTGTTATTAGGTTAAACAGACAGTGTTTGTCTATTGTTGTGACTTGAAGATCAGATCACACTTTATGACCAATTTATGTAGAAATCCAGGTAATTCCAAAGGGTTCACATACAATCACAATCTTTACTGGATTATCAAAAGCAGATTAATACAGTGATATTTTAATGCTTAACAATACTTACATATTTTCAGATGCATGGTGTTGATCTTTAAAATCGATCAGACCACCTATTGATTGGTCACTCATGAACACAGAGCTGGGTGAGTCTGGTTTCTTATCCTGGAGGCTGATTGACAGAGGTGAGGAGCACCAGGGTGAACAACTGACAATCAGAACAAATTTATTTTTTCTGATAAAACAATCCCTTCAGTATTTTGTTATTTCAGTTGAGGCACAAAAACATCAGTGTCATTCTGTGGAAACAGTTGTCTTGTGTGCTGTCAAGGGAGCTTTCTCTCTTGACTTGGTCTTGGGGCCTCACATATGTAGCATAAAGCCTACATTACAAACTTGGGGGGGTGAGTTTAAAAGGTATGGGAGTTAAACAGGCATGGAGCTCAATGATGCTACTGAATTGTATTATGGGAAATGTAGGATCCAGTGTTTATGAAGCTTGTCCCATTCTAGGGCCTAAATGTCAGGATATTTCAGCCTCCGCTGCCTTAAAATTTGGTGTCCTCCAATATGTACCTGGAATACTGTTTTAATAGCTGACAGAATTTACCATATATACATATGTAAAGAGGAGCAATTTTGGAAAAAGTAATCACTTTGGTACTCATCAAACTTATCTCTTTTTCAAAGAATGACATTGATCTTTAAAATCAATCAGGCCACCTATTGAATGGTCTTTCATGGTCACACAGCTGGGTGAGTCTGGTCACCAGGGGGAGAGGCCAACATGGTGGTTAGACTAGTACTACTTGTCATAAACAAAGTCTCAAAACAAGTCCAAGTATTTTATTATCAGTTGTAAAATTGTACCTTTACCACCTGCTGATAATAAAGTATGAAGCATGACCAGTAAACAAGTACCTTTATGCGCTCTTTCCAAAACTACAAGCAAAGTTTCATTATACGAGAAATCTGTACATGTATTCTAAGAAAAAATTGGCATGTGTATTAATTATTTGAATAGGAACATTAGTAACACTTTGATGCATGTAAAACTTACCTCTTTTTCAAAGAATCACAACTGCCTTTGAAGTCAATCAGGCCGCCTATTGAATGGTCACTGGGTACAGGTGAGTCTGGTCGCTCATGCTGAATGCTGATTGACAGAGAAGTAGAGGAGAGAAACAGTGGTCTGAGAGTCAGATAACAACAAACCCTTCACTAGAACTGGACTGATACTAAAAAATTATCAACAAAGCAAATTAATTTCAACCCCAAATTCCTTCCATCCATCCATCGTCAACCGCTTATCCTACGTACAGGGTTGTGGGGGGCTGGAGCCAATCCCAGCTGACATTGGGCGAAAGGCCTTTGGCCGCATATGGTGTCAGAAGTGGGACCCTGGACAGTTCGCCAGTCCATCGCAGGGCCACACATAGACAGACAACCATACACACTCACATCCACACCTAAGTACAATTTTGGATGGGGAGTACATGCAATCTGAAATTGCTCCATAGAGTCATACTTATTAACGTTTTATGTAAAGAGGAGCAATTTTGAAATGCAGTATGATGACTCTATGTACTAGATAAGCACCTCAGTAACATTTGATCACAATGAACATGACACTTACTTCTTTTCTAAAGAAGGGTGCCTATCTGTAAGATGATCAAGGCCCCCCTTTGCATGGTCACTGTGCATTGGCAGATGCCTGGGTTCAGAAGAGTCTGATCTGTCCTGCTGGATTCTGATCAACAGATGCAAAATTATTATCGAAGATAAAGGCACCAAATGACAAAAATAGCCCAACATAGCTCATTATTCGTTGTGGAGCAAGTCATGGGAAGGCACAGAATTTCTGGAGAACTTGCTGAACATATGCTAACTGTCAGTCATTTTCATTTGTCAATAGAAACTGAGCTGAGCTAGTGAACTGATGATTTTGCATTGCTGAGCCCTGCACAGTGGCAGCTTAAGCAGTGTTTCACCCATTTCAATTGAAACGGACCTCACCCTCCAAAGGTCACCGATTGACATGCAAGAATTAAATCATATATATCAGTATTACTGTAGTACTATATATGTGTTTTTGGAATTCACTATAGAAAATGATTATAGTAATAGGCTACTATTGTGTTGGCTATGGTGATCTAGTTAAGGTATAGTTTACTATACCTTAATGTGTTCTGTAGGGTGTTCAAAAAACAACTATAGAAACACTGTAAAATATACTATTTTATTAATATTTATAAAAAAAATACCATTATTAATGCAAACCAACCTAAATCCTCACTTTTTTTGGCTTTTATGTTGTTGTTTTTTTGGTGTGTGGGGGGGGCACATTAACTCTAGAAACACCCCTCCAAATGCATAAGGCAGCCACTGGCCCTGCTGCAAAGCCATAGCACCTCCATTTATTTGCACATATGCACTGTGCTGAAAACCAGGGTACATATTTATCAATGGACAGGACAGGGGCCTGAACATATTCTGATTTTAAATCTGCTACAAGCACCAGTACCCAAAGTACTCATATTCTCAGCTACTATTCCCATGGTCGATTATTTTGAATTCACAGTGGTAGTAAGAACCTCCTATCCTCAGTTAGTATGTGATTTCAAGAATGTGTTTCTTTCTTTTGCTAAGCACTGAAGGGTGCGCTATCACTACTCATACCACCATATAATGTATTCACATACACAGTACAATGGCAAACCTCAACCACAGTGCAAGTGCAATTAAACATTATTGTATATCTTCCAAAACTATATAAAATAAACTGTCAACTGTAAAATAACTTTATTACCAAAGTCCAAACTCATGGAACTTTGCCATATCAGAGACCAGAGTCCAGAGATCACATATCAGGTTGATTTATGAAGTATTGGTTAATTATTAAAATGTAACTGAATCCTCCAGAGAGTCGCCTTTCTGTTCCATATAATCAACTATGAAATCTTTTCAACAAAGAAATGTTTTTATGATGTTAATCTTAACAGCACTAATGTATAAACAAAGTGCCACACATGCTTTTATTTATTTGGACCTTTGCTGTGATTTTCCATCCACTCTTTAACATCTTTGCCTTATTACAGTTAATAATAATTACTAAGTTCAACAAAAAGTTACTATTATTAATAATCCAAAATGCCACACAGTACCTTTCCATGTTGAAATGAACCTCTTGCTGGGATGATAAGTGAAAAAAATAAGCAGAGAAAAGAAAAGAGAGAGATTAATCATTAGCTGAATGCATCTGAGAAAAAAATCTTATATAAGATTGTTTTCACTGTCTATAGGTCAACAAACCAAAAGAAAATTAAACGTAAAAAATTCAAATAGAATTCCCCAAATCAGTAACACTTACTTAAGTTGTGTCCATGAATGTTTGCGGCAGCTTCAGGTTACTCGTGTCTTCACAAGTGTTCTCTAATGAAAGTGTTGTGTTATTGTAGACTGGATTATCTATTACTGAATCCTCATGACCTGTGTATCAAAATTGAAACCAGTTCTGTCTAGCAGAGAGACCATAGATCAGGTGGTGCAGGTTTATGATGGTGAAATATAATCATCATCACTCCAATAAAGAGCAGCCTTGGAAATGTTTTACTGCCAGAAAACATCTTCATGAGGCCAACATCAACACCCAAACACGAATGGATTCACCAAGTGGTAGAGAAAAGTGTTGTGTGCCTTAACTGCTTGGGCTGGAGAGGAAGGAAGATCATATACATTTAATTTTACTCTGAAAGCAGAAAGAGTAGAAATATCTCAAGTCATGAAACTAATTAAACCAAGCAATTATTGTTGTTGTGGTTTAAGAGTTACAAAGATTCCATGTTGAAAATTTTTTACATTCATTTGCTTCAGATGCAATAAAATGTAACACAATTTCAATTCATTGTCTGATTCATATCTGGTGTATCATTTCCAGTATAAATTAGGGCAGGAACTGTCTCCAGAATGCAGGAAATTTCAAGCTTAATGCTCAATATCTTCTGGGGGACAACCCCCAGCCCCCCGCTCATATACTGTTTTTCAGTATCAAATATTTCTTCTAATTAGTGCTACAAATCTTCTCATCTTATTCTCGTGCACTGTCACGTCTTGCGACCCAAGTGTATCGTCACGCACCTAATCTGCTCCCTCATGTCCCCACCACTTTTTAACATAAAGTGATGCCCTTGGTTCCCGTCCTGTCTTTGAGTATATTTAACCAATTCCATTAGCCAAGTTCAAGGACACTAGTTGTAGGCTACTAATAGTTAGGCTAGGCTACATCCCACAATTGTTCAGGTGATATTTGAAACGTAAAACTCTAGCCTGTTGTAACTACAAATTAAGAGAAAAGAAACAAACTGTGTTCTCACACTCCAGTCCAGTAGGGGGCAGTAATGCCCCATAGGCCTCGATATGTCCGCCGCCAAAACGCTCATTTCACAGAAAAAATATTTTTCTTTTCGGAAGAAGAACCTTACAAAGCGGCCCTATTTCTTTTCAGCTAGAAAAAGTCGAAGATTCCGATAAGCGACGATGTACGCCAGGACAAATACCGGCAGCACACATGGAGACTTCCAAGACAGAAACGGAGTAAATTATGTGACATCGACAGAGTCTTTCGGCCACTGCTCTCAATTGTTCTGGAAAAAGGATCCCAACGACTCCGGAGTAAGAAAGCCAGCTGCCACCACTGTGCTGAAAACCAGGGTACATATTTATCAATGGACAGGACAGGGGCCTGAACATATTCTGATTTTAAATCTGCTACAAGCACCAGTACCCAAAGTACTCATATTCTCAGCTACTATTCCCATGGTCGATTATTTTGAATTCACAGTGGTAGTAAGAACCTCCTATCCTCAGTTAGTATGTGATTTCAAGAATGTGTTTCTTTCTTTTGCTAAGCACTGAAGGGTGCGCTATCACTACTCATACCACCATATAATGTATTCACATACACAGTACAATGGCAAACCTCAACCACAGTGCAAGTGCAATTAAACATTATTGTATATCTTCCAAAACTATATAAAAATAAACTGTCAACTGTAAAATAACTTTATTACCAAAGTCCAAACTCATGGAACTTTGCCATATCAGAGACCAGAGTCCAGAGATCACATATCAGGTTGATTTATGAAGTATTGGTTAATTATTAAAATGTAACTGAATCCTCCAGAGAGTCGCCTTTCTGTTCCATATAATCAACTATGAAATCTTTTCAACAAAGAAATGTTTTTATGATGTTAATCTTAACAGCACTAATGTATAAACAAAGTGCCACACATGCTTTTATTTATTTGGACCTTTGCTGTGATTTTCCATCCACTCTTTAACATCTTTGTCTTATTACAGTTAATAATAATTACTAAGTTCAACAAAAAGTTACTATTATTAATAATCCAAAATGCCACACAGTACCTTTCCATGTTGAAATGAACCTCTTGCTGGGATGATAAGTGAAAAAATAAGCAGAGAAAAGAAAAGAGAGAGATTAATCATTAGCTGAATGCATCTGAGAAAAAAATCTTATATAAGATTGTTTTCACTGTCTATAGGTCAACAAACCAAAAGAAAATTAAACGTAAAAAATTCAAATAGAATTCCCCAAATCAGTAACACTTACTTAAGTTGTGTCCATGAATGTTTGCGGCAGCTTCAGGTTACTCGTGTCTTCACAAGTGTTCTCTAATGAAAGTGTTGTGTTATTGTAGACTGGATTATCTATTACTGAATCCTCATGACCTGTGTATCAAAATTGAAACCAGTTCTGTCTAGCAGAGAGACCATAGATCAGGTGGTGCAGGTTTATGATGGTGAAATATAATCATCATCACTCCAATAAAGAGCAGCCTTGGAAATGTTTTACTGCCAGAAAACATCTTCATGAGGCCAACATCAACACCCAAACACGAATGGATTCACCAAGTGGTAGAGAAAAGTGTTGTGTGCCTTAACTGCTTGGGCTGGAGAGGAAGGAAGATCATATACATTTAATTTTACTCTGAAAGCAGAAAGAGTAGAAATATCTCAAGTCATGAAACTAATTAAACCAAGCAATTATTGTTGTTGTGGTTTAAGAGTTACAAAGATTCCATGTTGAAAATTTTTTTACATTCATTTGCTTCAGATGCAATAAAATGTAACACAATTTCAATTCATTGTCTGATTCATATCTGGTGTATCATTTCCAGTATAAATTAGGGCAGGAACTGTCTCCAGAATGCAGGAAATTTCAAGCTTAATGCTCAATATCTTCTGGGGGACAACCCCCAGCCCCCCGCTCATATACTGTTTTTCAGTATCAAATATTTCTTCTAATTAGTGCTACAAATCTTCTCATCTTATTCTCGTGCACTGTCACGTCTTGCGACCCAAGTGTATCGTCACGCACCTAATCTGCTCCCTCATGTCCCCACCACTTTTTAACATAAAGTGATGCCCTTGGTTCCCGTCCTGTCTTTGAGTATATTTAACCAATTCCATTAGCCAAGTTCAAGGACACTAGTTGTAGGCTACTAATAGTTAGGCTAGGCTACATCCCACAATTGTTCAGGTGATATTTGAAACGTAAAACTCTAGCCTGTTGTAACTACAAATTAAGAGAAAAGAAACAAACTGTGTTCTCACACTCCAGTCCAGTAGGGGGCAGTAATGCCCCATAGGCCTCGATATGTCCGCCGCCAAAACGCTCATTTCACAGAAAAAATATTTTTCTTTTCGGAAGAAGAACCTTACAAAGCGGCCCTATTTCTTTTCAGCTAGAAAAAGTCGAAGATTCCGATAAGCGACGATGTACGCCAGGACAAATACCGGCAGCACACATGGAGACTTCCAAGACAGAAACGGAGTAAATTATGTGACATCGACAGAGTCTTTCGGCCACTGCTCTCAATTGTTCTGGAAAAAGGATCCCAACGACTCCGGAGTAAGAAAGCCAGCTGCCACCACTGTGCTGAAAACCAGGGTACATATTTATCAATGGACAGGACAGGGGCCTGAACATATTCTGATTTTAAATCTGCTACAAGCACCAGTACCCAAAGTACTCATATTCTCAGCTACTATTCCCATGGTCGATTATTTTGAATTCACAGTGGTAGTAAGAACCTCCTATCCTCAGTTAGTATGTGATTTCAAGAATGTGTTTCTTTCTTTTGCTAAGCACTGAAGGGTGCGCTATCACTACTCATACCACCATATAATGTATTCACATACACAGTACAATGGCAAACCTCAACCACAGTGCAAGTGCAATTAAACATTATTGTATATCTTCCAAAACTATATAAAAATAAACTGTCAACTGTAAAATAACTTTATTACCAAAGTCCAAACTCATGGAACTTTGCCATATCAGAGACCAGAGTCCAGAGATCACATATCAGGTTGATTTATGAAGTATTGGTTAATTATTAAAATGTAACTGAATCCTCCAGAGAGTCGCCTTTCTGTTCCATATAATCAACTATGAAATCTTTTCAACAAAGAAATGTTTTTATGATGTTAATCTTAACAGCACTAATGTATAAACAAAGTGCCACACATGCTTTTATTTATTTGGACCTTTGCTGTGATTTTCCATCCACTCTTTAACATCTTTGTCTTATTACAGTTAATAATAATTACTAAGTTCAACAAAAAGTTACTATTATTAATAATCCAAAATGCCACACAGTACCTTTCCATGTTGAAATGAACCTCTTGCTGGGATGATAAGTGAAAAAAATAAGCAGAGAAAAGAAAAGAGAGAGATTAATCATTAGCTGAATGCATCTGAGAAAAAATCTTATATAAGATTGTTTTCACTGTCTATAGGTCAACAAACCAAAAGAAAATTAAACGTAAAAAATTCAAATAGAATTCCCCAAATCAGTAACACTTACTTAAGTTGTGTCCATGAATGTTTGCGGCAGCTTCAGGTTACTCGTGTCTTCACAAGTGTTCTCTAATGAAAGTGTTGTGTTATTGTAGACTGGATTATCTATTACTGAATCCTCATGACCTGTGTATCAAAATTGAAACCAGTTCTGTCTAGCAGAGAGACCATAGATCAGGTGGTGCAGGTTTATGATGGTGAAATATAATCATCATCACTCCAATAAAGAGCAGCCTTGGAAATGTTTTACTGCCAGAAAACATCTTCATGAGGCCAACATCAACACCCAAACACGAATGGATTCACCAAGTGGTAGAGAAAAGTGTTGTGTGCCTTAACTGCTTGGGCTGGAGAGGAAGGAAGATCATATACATTTAATTTTACTCTGAAAGCAGAAAGAGTAGAAATATCTCAAGTCATGAAACTAATTAAACCAAGCAATTATTGTTGTTGTGGTTTAAGAGTTACAAAGATTCCATGTTGAAAATTTTTTTACATTCATTTGCTTCAGATGCAATAAAATGTAACACAATTTCAATTCATTGTCTGATTCATATCTGGTGTATCATTTCCAGTATAAATTAGGGCAGGAACTGTCTCCAGAATGCAGGAAATTTCAAGCTTAATGCTCAATATCTTCTGGGGGACAACCCCCAGCCCCCCGCTCATATACTGTTTTTCAGTATCAAATATTTCTTCTAATTAGTGCTACAAATCTTCTCATCTTATTCTCGTGCACTGTCACGTCTTGCGACCCAAGTGTATCGTCACGCACCTAATCTGCTCCCTCATGTCCCCACCACTTTTTAACATAAAGTGATGCCCTTGGTTCCCGTCCTGTCTTTGAGTATATTTAACCAATTCCATTAGCCAAGTTCAAGGACACTAGTTGTAGGCTACTAATAGTTAGGCTAGGCTACATCCCACAATTGTTCAGGTGATATTTGAAACGTAAAACTCTAGCCTGTTGTAACTACAAATTAAGAGAAAAGAAACAAACTGTGTTCTCACACTCCAGTCCAGTAGGGGGCAGTAATGCCCCATAGGCCTCGATATGTCCGCCGCCAAAACGCTCATTTCACAGAAAAAATATTTTTCTTTTCGGAAGAAGAACCTTACAAAGCGGCCCTATTTCTTTTCAGCTAGAAAAAGTCGAAGATTCCGATAAGCGACGATGTACGCCAGGACAAATACCGGCAGCACACATGGAGACTTCCAAGACAGAAACGGAGTAAATTATGTGACATCGACAGAGTCTTTCGGCCACTGCTCTCAATTGTTCTGGAAAAAGGATCCCAACGACTCCGGAGTAAGAAAGCCAGCTGCCACCACCGTTAGCTTGCGTGCTTAGCCAACAAATAGCTATATCACACGGCTAACGGAGCATCATTTTACTAAGGAAGCACAAGGCAAAGTGTCGGTTTTTTACAGTCTTGTTATTTGAGTGTCTGAAATTACAGTTTAGCAACACAGGGTGATGTGAAGCTGCAAGTTATGTTACAGAACCGCTTCGTTAGCTTCCTGCTAACGATAACGTACCAGTCGTCATGCTGGGCGGCTCATGGCCTAGTTTGACTCTTAGCTGCCGAGCTAAGTGGCTAGAAATAATCAGCTCCCACACAGTGTATCCACAACACCCCGATAGAGGGTTTAATTAAATTGGACGTGTGTGTCCAACGTATGTCTTTGCAGGGTTGTGTAGAGACACCGACAGGTTACGAAAATAAATGTGAATGTAGTCAAGCATCATCGAGCTAATGCTAACGTCAGACAACACTGGCTGCTTTAGCCAAAAGCGAATAGCAGAGCAAAACAAGGCTGCGTTTTTCTCTCTTTTAGAGCCGTTTATAAAACGGTTCTTTGAAGGGTCTGCTCTAATATTGCGAACCATATGGGGTTTATTTGAACAGTTAAAGTAGAAGTGTGTGCATGAGGCCTGCAATATTGTTAGCGAACAGCGCAAAGTAAACACGGCCAGGCTGTCCCACAGGAAACGGGAGCGGAAGACGCCCCGCGGAGGTCTTTGAAAGACCTCTTTGTGATCCCAGACTGTACGCTTCATTCATGGTCGCCCTCAGCCGACAGATTATCTGCACAGTGCACACAGAAACCCACGCATTAATTTATACGCTTAAACATTTTTCTACATTTTCATGTGGACGGCCTTATCCATTAGTTTTGGCTTGTATCTTGTGCAGTCACACACATGCAAGTTAAATTTAAGTTGTTGACTTTCCCAAAACTTGTCATTGCTAATGATACTCCCAGAACTCTTGTTATCATTAAGGGGAGTTGACAGCACTTTCCAGGTGTGGCTCACCTGATGTTTTCCTCTCAGCCTTCCTGAGCTATACGCACACAGCATCTTCAAAATGATTTAACATCTTTGATATTGCTTTTAGCTACGCTGTCGGACACACAATACCACAGTTTCATGCACAGTATCTCCCATCTCAGGCGGGGAACCCCTTATTTGTAAAAGAACAACCAGTCTGTCAGTAAGGTTCTCCAAAGGTGCAGTACCATTCATTCATGCACAACATTTTTATTTACCATGTCTGCTCTGATCTGAACCACTATGTCCGAGAGAGCTCGACACATTGCAACTTAAACCCCCCCCCCCAATGCACACACTTATGAGGCATAAAGAAGCATGCTAGAAATATAGAAACACTTGCAAATGAGAAATGAAAAGAAATGCTGCTAGTCAAACAACGGCAGAAGTCAAAGACAAGACAAAGTTTTTATTAGTGCTGGACTGCATTATATAAAGAGGTGTTTTTAATGTTTTTGAGACGATTTAGAAACACACTTCATTAGAATGCGGTACAGTACAACCTCAACACCAACTACGACCTCAGTTGTAAATATAGTTGAATTCACACCACGGAAAGTTTTAACAAATCCTGGCCATTGTAAAGGTAGAATAAGTGTCAGAGCTGATTACATTATATTGTGTATGTATACATAATAAAGTGGCCAGGGAGTGGACGGGCTGTCAGGGCAGTGGTTGCACTAAACGTGTGTCAAAGTCATGAAGCTGACTTCTTAATTTTCTTTTGTTCACTTGGATGTTGTTTCTAAGGTTACATGGAGCACTCGGTTAACAAATCCACAGAAAGTGGATTTGAAAAAGATCCAGTAGTGCTGTACCGCTGAAAACTCTTTGAGAAAACCTAGTCATCTACATACATGTCAGTTCTGGCTGTGGAGAGGCTTGTGTTTACACACTTGACTCCAGGTGATGTCAGCTGGAGTTCTGCCTCCGGCCATTATGTTTTGTAAAGCTTGAGGCTCAGGTCGGGTTTGGTTATTTTCAAATGTAATTTATAAATTTCTCTCTGTCTTTCTATGACAGGGCCTGTCATCTGGGTCCATGTGTGTCATGTGTCGCAAGTAGATAGTCACAGGAGCAAAAGAGACAAAGTGGGTTCTAGTCAGAGTTTTAGGCCAATGCAGATCTCTCATGTGGGCAGAGCTTTACACTTAAACATTGTTTTCACCGGACAGGTCTAATAGGTCTTGGACGGTGCTCTATTTATGACACGAAGCAGGGACATTCTATAGCTCGCCAGTGTGAATGCATATTTTATTTGGTTGTTGGAATATAACAACAATACATCAGGGCTTAATAGAATGATGTGTCCCTATCATGGTGCACAATCTGAAGACGTGCCTCATAGTTTGTCACCTATGCAGTCATTGCATAGGTGACTGCATGCACGCTCACATCAATCTCACCAGATGTGTCATTGTCACCCAGTGTGTCTTCTCCGTTAGCAGCAACCTTGGACCTCATTATACTGAAGTGTCTCAGCTAGGGATGAAACGGTATGAAAATTTCAAATCACGATTATAGTGACCAAAATTATCATGGTTATCAATATTATCACGGGATTGTAAAAATGTGCCGAAAAAGATTAAAATACACAGAAACTATTTCAACAAGTTTTATGTTGAAAATTACAAATAAAATTGCCATTTAGTTTGCATAAACATTGCTGTTAACAGCCAATACCATTTGTAAACACATAAACCATCCAAATGTGCATTATCAAGATTTTATATATTATATAGGTAATGCAGTGACCCCATGCACAATTACATGAAAACAAATGTCTTTTGAAGACAGTGATAGGAACTGCAAGGAGCCCAACAACTGAAGTAACTGCAGAGGAGTCTGTGCGAATCTCCTGTTCTGACACTTTTGCAGCTAATTTGATTGCTGCTGGATTTAAAATGAACAAGATCTGCTGGTTGGTTGACTAAACTGTGTAACGTGTTATCATGTGCAGTGGACGAATAGTCTACAAACACACAAGGCACAGAGCAGCAGAACAGCGTGTAGCGTTTTTTACAAGAGCAGCAACACTGAGAGCTTCAGTTTACAAGCTGTTAGCACATCAGACAGACAAACCAAAGCACAAAAGTTGGCTCACCCCGCGTTCGCTGTAAGGTCATTTTCTACAATCAAGTTTCCCTCAGCGCTCTCATAAAAAAGTAAAATCCGACCAGATTTCAAGTTACTTCTGCCGTGTTGTCATTGCCCCAAACAAACCCAGGCTGCATGCGTGCCTGCTTCTGGGAGACTGTCGCTAACTTTGGTGGTTGATGCTGGACAGTATTTGCTGTGATTTTATAATGGCGCAGTAACCGAACCCGGTTAACATGGTTATTAACGTGTACAGTAATGATAACTGTTGGGAATTTTACCATGGTTTATCATTAACCCAGTAATCGTTTCATCTCTAGTCTCAGCTATTTAGTTCTGTGTCTGAATAGGGTAGGACAAAATATCACAAATGCCATGTCACTTCTAAAGGCGAGTCTTAGCTCCAGTCCTACACACACCAGTGACTTGTTGATAGATGGTTGTGTTGTGGCTTTAATGCATTCCTCTCCTCTGTGACAGCCGAGTTCGACCATCAGCTGGTGCGATCAGCTCCCTTCGTCCTCAGCAGCCCTCTCCACCTCCAGTCTCTCTACAGCGTCACTCTCCAGCTCCAGTCTCTCCTTGGAGTCCCGAGCGCCAGCGCCGGCGCCGGCGACGACGGTGTCAGACGACATGGAATCAGACGAGAGGCCGTACGTCTGCGATCTCTGCAGCTGCGCCTACAAGCACGCCAGCTCACTGCTCAACCACAAGCTCACTCACAAGACTGGAGACTTCAGGTAGGGACTCCACTCTTATTAAGATGACTCAAATTACCTGCAACCTAGGTATTCTCTCTGTGAATGTCAGGCTTACCACCTCACCACACTGTAGGTCACCTTCAGCGGAGAGTCATTTTTTCACTTCTAACCTTCACACTGTTTTCGTCTGCCAAAACTCAGGTGCGACTTTTGCAGCAAGCCCTACACCAACTACATGTCCCTGCGCAACCATATGCGAATCCACGGTCAGAAGCGCTACATGTGCGACCTGTGCGGGAAGGCCTTCCGTCTGGCCCGCTACCTCCGTAACCACCAGAGGATCCACGACGATGGGCCTAACCGCTTTGACTGTCCCTCCTGCTGCAAGAGCTACAGGACCATGCTGGAACTGGCCCAGCACCGCTGCACCGCCGCTGCATCCAACCAGGTGGGTCTGTGTGGGGTGGTGCTGTGAAAAGAGTGGATGATGCTTGGGATGGTGTGTGTTGGGCTGCATTAATGTAACAATTCTGTGAGTAATTTTGCGAGAAAACATGTGAGAGCTGGCATATTTTTATATTAGAAAGATGTTTTGTTTTACTACATAATACTTCCTGAATGTGATTGATGGTGAAGTTTATGAATCAGTTTTCTAGTATTCAGCTGCACATTAATACACGTGTAACAACAAATATGTATAGACATGAAGAAATATTCTGCAGGTCATTTATCAGAACATTCCAGTGACTGAAATGACAGTTACATTCTTTGCTATGAAAGGTGCTGTAAAACAAATTGCTCTCAGAATTAGTCTAAAGAGGGATAGATGATACGACCTATTGCCAGAGACATTTTTCATTTTAACCAGTAAAAGCGTCTTTGCCTGCTAAAATGCTGAAGCTTCTACCTGGATGTTTTTTACTCTGCTTGAGAGGAGAGAGAACAAATTTGTTACCGTCGGAGTTCAGTGACTATTTCCCACAGAGCTGGGTAGAATAGCCAAACACCGTAGTCAAGTAGAATTAAAAGTAATCATCCAAATAACTACTTGAGTTTGCGTACAAAAGTATTTACTGAAAACATGACTTGAGTGGCTAGTAAGTGGGGTAATTGATTCGAATCCAGTACACGTCTTTTTGTCAGATTCAGCAGATATCTCCTGGCGGCCCCGCTAGCTCTCTGTTGTTCTGTGTGTGTGCGTGTTGAAAAAGATCTGGAGTTTGTACTGAGCCCTGGCTCTGTATATGGGAAACAAACTAACTTCAGTGAGTCGCTCTGGTGCACCAGCACATGATTTGGTCGCACCCCTTTTGTTTTATGTATTTTTTTTTTGTACAGGTATTAATCAATGTTTGTAAGAAGTGTGCTCAGTGTTTTGATTGATGCTACGGCCCCTTTGAGTTTTTTGTTTCAAGCTTAAACTGTGACCCGGTGGCAAGTTTAGAGTTGCCTGCAACGGATGGGCCCCACTGCCTACATAAACACAGTATAGCATTCTCCTCGTACTGCAGCCACCTGCCTGCATCTACAGTTGTTGAATCTACAGTTGTTCACTGCAGAGGCTCTGTCCACAACCTGGAGGAGTAAAGTATAAATGCGTGTACTTGTATAATATTATAACATTAAATAAAAAATACAATGGTCATTTAATAATATGCTGTTAGTATAATATTAATATATTAATTATATAATGTTACTATATTGATTATAATTTCATATATTAGTATACTATTTAGCTTACCACTAGTATAATATTAATTACAGTTACGGCAGTTTTATTTTTGTGGGTTTTTTATACATTTATTCATTGTGCAAGAAAAGTATTACGGTAGGTTGCAGTATTAACTAGCGCAGTGTGCTCGCACTTCAGGGGCATTTAGCGAGTGAAACGCAGGGCTGGCTAAAGTTCCATATCTTTTGATATTGATAATTATTACGATGAGTATCAAATTGTTATTTCTTTCGAGTTTAAAGGATGATTTTTCTCCTGAGTAAAAGTTGAAGAAACCTGATGGTTAATTGTGGTTTAAACTCTTCTTTATGGTGAACACTTGATGCTAAACAGTGGCTCACTTCACAAATCTGAGGCAGAACATTCAAAACAATTATGATAAAATCATTTTCAACAAATATGCAAGAGTAAAATTAAGTAAAAGCTTTTTTCAGTCCTTTTTTCCAAAATAAACTAATTTGTGTATGATTCAAGTGAATATCAAACATTTATTGAATATTGAACATATGTTATATTGTGTTTGAAAAAAAAATTATATCGATAATTATTATTTTATTGTCCAGCCCTTCTCGCACAAATGAGACCATGTGAAATTTTAACATGCACCAAAATGGTCGCAGTCTGGAGCCCTGCATGATGTGAGAGTCAGCAACGTTGAAGGATTTGCCCACTGACCTTCAGTTTACTTTATAGTTCACCAAGACATGCTGCTGTTGGGAGGTTGGCTATAACAGCAGGAGAGTTGTATCACTGTCAGTAGCTGACGTGCTGCTTTGGGACTGTCTAGTCCTCTCTGCATGTTAGCTTCACGGCAGTAACTGTAGCAACTGTATGCTAACCCACTACTTAGCTAACGTTGGTTACATTACTTGCTGTTAGGGATGCACCGAGATGAATATTCTTGGCCGAAACCGAATATAATGAAAAAATTTGCAGAACACCGAACATTCACATTTTTTCCATTTATGTTGTCTTTTTTTTTTTTTAACCTTGGCATAAATTAAATCGTCAAAATGTTCTTTTTACTCAGTGTTTCCCACAAGATTTGGAGACTATGGTGGGTGGGTCTGAGGCCGAGAATCCGGCAAAGTAAATTACATGTGTCCATTTACTTTTAATCTGACACGTTTTATATTTTCTGTGAATATAATCCAGTTAATCTTATTTCCATCCTGTATAGACGCCTTATTTTGAAAACCAGACGTTGTCACGTGTATCCTCGTGCAAAAATTCATCAAGTCCGACCCAATTTGATAAATAATGTTGTATGTAGTTCTCGTATCGCGCAACATGAAGACTTCACAGCCTCTCTTCAGGTAGGACTCTCATACTGCAACACTTGTCTTTGTAAAGAGAGAAACTGACGCTAACCTGCCTGTCAGCTCGCTCTGGGCTGTTTCAGTGGATTTACCATAAAGACTTGAATACGTGTGCACTCCAAATGTAGGTGCGGCTAGCTTAATCGCCTTCTCAGAAATGAGTGACAGAAACGCTCAAAGCGGGTCAGACCGTTTGTTGCCTTTTCTAAGAAGTAAGTTTGCGTCATTCTCGGACACTTTAAAATTCTACCACACTGTCAACATGCCAACTTAATTGTTGGGTAAAATTTCTTCAGTCTGTTGGCTTTTTAGGCCGAACACTGAACTTCCTTTTTTTGCTATTTTTGGGCTATTAATTTCAGTGGCCGAACATTCGGTGCATCCCTACTTGCTGAGTCATTGTTCGCTCTATATCATGGTATTTGTATATAGTGTTGGACTTCTCCAGAATTGCTTACTCCATCTTTTTAAGAAAGCAAAAGGAAAAAAAAACCACCTTGCTACACACTGTCTTTCCCCAAAATCTTCTATTCGATGTTGAAATGACTGGAATCAATTCAGCCACAGATGATCTTCCTCAGGTAAAGGTAAAGAATTGAACAAACCTTACAAACACCTTCTTTATTAGTGATGAAATGACGAGTTGTCATCTCTTGGTTAAATAACCTGCCATATAAACACCAGGACAATATTCCCTGCCTGTGATCATAAAATATTACTTTTCTACTCTATTAAGTTCTCTAATGCTAATTTCTAATCTAATTTATTCTAATTAGGAGAAAATACTGTGATATTTCATCATTAATTACCTACTAAATATATATGTGTGTGTGTGTGTTCACTTCTTCACTTTGACCTGAAAAAAACAATCTCTGCTTATTAGCACATTAATAAAGCACACACTTAACTGCTGTCTGTCAGCTCAATGTCAGTACTGTTCTCTGATGTACTGACCTCAGACCAGGGCTCTGCAGTGTGTGCTATTAATTAATCTGTAAATATAATATGCTGCACTGCTGTTTGAATTTGGACAAAACACAAAAAAGAACAGATCTAAATCCATTAAACACATGCAGCGATCTGCCCTGATGGACATCTCTACTTTAAAACACTGAAATACTTTGTTGAACTGAATAATGGTCTGTCACTCCCCTCTGATGCAAATTACTAAACAACAAATATCTTCATCATTATTATCACTTATTGTCACTTCTAACTCTGCTGTTGCCAAGAGCACAGTGCAAACAGATGCGTGCTACCTTTGTGACACATGGTGTCACTAGGTGTTTCTTTTCACCTGCCAGCAAGGTGCTTCAGTAGCAGGAGGGCATAATACCTGTCACATTGTCCCTTCCAGTTCAGCTGCCCCCCATGCTGGCACCATGACACGCCAGGAGGTGTTGCTAGCGCAGTGGAGCAGAGCTCTCATGGCACTTCTGATTTTTGCAGTGCTACTGTTGGTCTGAGCACTCAATACATGTTTTTATCCATTCTAATGCTAGTCGAAACTCCACTGAACAAATTGCTGCCACCAAAAATGCCACGCTTTAAAAACCACATTTTTATCACAGCTTTCCTTCAACCATTGAGTGAATAACATCTGGTCATTTAGAGCTTGACAAGGGCACAAAAATGGCAAATGGCTGTGAGTCCAAAAAGCCTTCACTAGTCTACTCTGTCGCATCACTCTACTAGAGGGCTCTACTCTAACTGGTGCAGCACATCCTGTCTCCAGGTCTGACATGTTGTTGCTTTCATAGAGGAGGTGGGGGGTAGCGTGCTTTAGCCTGCAGGAGGTAGAGAACATGTGCTGTGACTTCTTGAGTGGCAGCAGAGAAGGCTGCAGCATTTTAATCTTAAATGGTCAGGTTCATATTAGACTGCTCTGCTCCTGCAGCATTCTACGCACCCGTGTGATATCTAAAAATGAAAGTGATGTGAGAATGTGCGCAAATTTTCTCCGCAAATTTTTGTCTTGCCCTGTCGGTAGCAAAACTCACCAAATGTTTCAAAATAACACACTCCAGTTACTGTGCATATGTCAGTGAAGTAGTCTACGAAAAACCTAATTATATCCGGTGATACTCAATAAAAGTTAGATCATGTATGTGGATGTTTAAGATCAAAATAAAATTGAATGTGAGAAGAATACTTAATTTCACTTCATATCACACATTATCACTATCATTTAAACATTCAAACCAGCAGTGTTATTTGTGCTCGCGCCAGTGAGCCATAACTATGCCTGACTGCACCTTTCAATAAAAAAAAAAAGATTATAGATATATTAGAACATTGCAATATTCAAATAAAGTAAAATTTCCAGTCTACAAGTTCTTAATGGTTCATGTGTTCAGGAAAATGTAGCATAAAATGAAATAGATGTTCACTCAAAGTTCTCAGTGGCTTCTAGAAACCTTCAGCTTCAAAATGCGAAGGAGCCGTTTCTTAAGTTTAATGTCATCTTTCATTGTCTTGTTATCTTGTCTCTTGTTCATGAGCATGCGATGTGCATTAGAATAGCTTAAAATGTCAGTGTTTTCCCATAGTTTTGTGAGCTTTAGATGTTGGGCCATTATTTTCACCATATCTCAGATGATAAATAAACAACACCCAAACATCAGTCTACTGGGGAGGAACTACAACTATAAGATTTGGGGAAAGTAATTTGGTTGGTTATGATGCTCTCCACGGTCATTTTATGGGGCATCACCCCCTAAAACCCTGTTAATATGACCTCAGAATCATTATAGATACGATGGTTCATGTTTGCACATTAAAATCCAAAAAGAAGCTTCTCCTCATTAGCTGAAAAGTCGTTTGCATCACTAATTTGCTTTACTAACCTCCTTTACTGACCGTCCTTTCTTTTCCTAACAACCACTTTTTCAGACTGATATGAAAAATAACTTAGGATGAACCAGTCAGTACAGGACAGAGCTGCAGGCTACACCAGTTTAGTCGAAGTTTGTACCTGATGCTCTCACATTGGACAAGTAAGTAGTAATAAAATACAGCTACCAGTTACTTTCTGTAAATTGAGCTGAGTTACATAGCAGCCATAGTAGCCTACTGTATAAGCTTTCCTGCTCAGCTGCGCAGTCTGAAGGGGAGATGTGTGCTAGCGCACGCAAAAATGAAAATCCCTCCTGAACGTCCACGAGCTTAACAAGGTTACGAGAGCCAGACCCTGCAGGCTGGGTGCTCTGTTGTAATGTATCTGTTCAGGCTGAAGGGTGAGCCTCCTTCATGTAACTGATTTGATAGCCTGGGGAGTGTGTTGTCTATTACATACCAGATGCTGTAATTTTCCACTGTATAACATACTGTTCAGGATGACGTGCAGTTAACTCTTGTCAACCACACTGATGAAGAATATGACACTAGTGTACCACACGCTTCCACATTAATGCTGTTTATAAATGACTCTCATTCAAATGAGCTCTGAAGCTGGCATTTTGAGGCCGATCCTGATATCGATATTTGGGAGTAAAAAATAAAATCTGGTATCGGCTGATATGATTTTATCAGGCTCGCTCTATTGGTTGTAACATTGCCAGTGAGAGGAGAAAACAGAAAACACAATCTGCATCTTAAATGAGTTGACCTTGGATCCTGAGTTCAGCAACTACAGTGCAGCGTTTTGTTCCTGACTGCAACAACCAAGTGTTTAGAATTTGCTACTTCTCTGATTCACAGCTCTGATTTGCTTCTTCCTTGCAGAACCTGAGGCCGAGACTCATGGGTATCGTGGTATTTAGAGCCCTATGTCATGCAAAACTGACCTACTTGGTAACTGAGTATATCAGTGAAAAAAAAGCTTCTGAAGCGTAACTTGTTCTTATTTTTCCCTTGTTAACCACCTTCTTCACAAATTTGTGAGACAGCAGCACTGTCTCCTTGTGTGCCAGCAGGAACTTTACTAATCTATTTAACATTTCATAATGGAATTGACATTGATGTTTTTGTGGCAGGTGTGGTAAAACTGCCGGTGGGCCACAGTTGGCCATATGTAGGAGAAACGTGTGTGTGTGTGTGTTGGGGGGGGGCAGGACATATTTTAAATTATTTGCTTTGCTTATTTGGTGAAGTGTGTGCATGCAACATATTGTAGCACATTTTTGTTGACCCTCTGTCCTCTCTCCAGCTACCTTTTTGCCAGCCCTCCCGTGGTGAAAGCATGCTGTGGAGTTAGGGTTAGACCAGGGTTAGGCTAAGTTTAGGGAAAGGGTCAGGGTTTAGAGGTTAGGGAATAAATACAATTCGTGGATTTTCCTTACAAGTATAGTAATCCAAATTTGTGTGTGTGTGTGTGTGTGTGTGTTTGTGTGTGTGTGTGTGTGTGTGTGTGTGTGTGGGGTTGATTAATAAGAACCGGTTCAACTGCCCGTCCTGCTTTAAGAGCTACCGAACCATGCTGGACCTGGCCCAGCACCGCTGCAGCGCCGTGGCCAAAAACCAGGTTGGTGTGAGCGTGAGTGGGCATGTGTGTGGTGTATGTGTGTGTGTGCGTGTGTGTGAGGCAGTCAGCAGATAGAACTGTAGCTTTAAGTAAGGGCCAACTTGTACAGGAGCTTTAGATGTGATGGTCAGAAAACAAAATCCTAATGGTCCGTCTCTGATCGAGGCTATCACTGATGTAAATGCTCCTAAAATGCTTTTATGTGGCAAAATATCGTCTTGACAAATTCTCGCTACAAATTATTTCCATTGGCGCTGTAATCGGTCTGTTTTCTTGCAATGCTGGCAGTGCTAACTTGGCTTACAGAAAAGGCAAACGACTGATGACTGCCAGAGCAGGTGTCTGTGACCATTACATCTAAAACACATGTACAGAAAAATGTACTTTGGAAATACCTCTAAGCTCATCAGAGTGAGGAAATTTCCTTTTCCCTTGGGTCTGTCTTTTGTATTTTCGACCGCCAATATTAAGGATGGAATATCAACGGAGCCCCTCAGCAGCTACATATGTAATCTTGAGGCCCCACCTTGAAGAGGAGCCCTGACTTAAAATCTGGTGTTTTTTGCATTTATTGTGCTTACATGGTGCATTTTACTTTTCATAACTTTTACTAGAAACTACTAATTGGTAACTAATGCATAAAAATTGCACAGAGATGGGGAGAAAGGGTGGGGGGGGGGGATCAAGTGGGTTATTCCAGCCCTGACCAGTAGGCACAGCTTTAAAGGGCCCTCACTGAGTTTTGAACACAGCCATTTTATCAACACTAAGTATTTTGGAATTGAAAATGAAGGTGCACATTAAGGACAGGTTCCAAACGATACGGTTATGCTCACATGGACATTCTCAGTTGCAGTATTTGTTCCTCCTGTCCATACTGGCTGTGAACAGATCCTCCTCACTCTGTTCCATTATAAGTGACGAGAGACTGAGAGACGAGTGAAGCGGGTTATTATGAAAATGCGCAGTACTTTTTAGTACAAAATATCCTTTTAACCTAAATGTTACCCAAAATGTATTTTTAATAGTCCGCTGCATTGTGAAACTATTTCCCACTTCAACTTTAACGCGCCATGCTTAATTCAAGCTGTGTGTGGAAAAATGCAGGTGATGATAACTTGCCTTGGTTCAAGTTTTTTTTTTTTTCTTTTCTCTTCAAAGTCCGTTTCCTATAGAACTGGCAAACTGGATTTGTTTCGAACTTCTCTCAATTCATTTCATATCACCTGCTCTTGGCAGGCAATCTGGCCTATACAGCGTAAACGCATCCCATACCTATTATTATGGTCGGAAATACAAAGATATGACCTACATTATAAAACAAACAGAATTTTCCTACCAGGCTTAATGTGAAAGGCACGATGATGCAACATGGACGCTTGCAGGCCTACTGTAGCTCTGACTCTCCAGGGAAAAGGTCAGGGAGAAGGTTAGTGCTGTAGGTGTTAGGGTTAGAGGACAAGTTGACAAAGCAAGCATCTTATGTAGTTGTCATGGTTACAGATAGTCATAGATTCATGTTAATGTTGGAGTTAACAGTTATATAGTTATAATTTCTAGGTTCAGTAGAATACTTTGAGTGTGTGTGTGTGTGTACAAGTTGACCACTCCATCCCCTCATATGAACAGGTTTAAAGAGAGATAGGGTAGTGAAACGCATCAACTTTAAACATTTACTCTGAACGCCACAAGACACTTGAAGAGTCTGATTCAGTGTGGAAACAGTTCATCACATTCATCTGTCGCCTCTCCTCCGCTCTGTCGTATCTCACTCTTGTCACTCTGTGCATCACTGGCATGCGTGTGGCACAGACAGTGTGCATAAAGACAAAAATGATTTACAGAATCCCTCTTCCCTCCTGTCTTTTTCTCTGTCCACCCTCCTGCTCTCCTTCCTCCTCCCATCCAGTCTGGCGGCCGACGTTCCAATTTCGCCAACACTCCCCGCCGTCAGCAACAGCAGCAACAGCAGAACAATGCTAACTCCATGATGCAACCGCAGCACGGAGGACACGGCCAGCAGGAGCCTCTGCCCTCTCACTGCGTCTCCCCCATGTCCCAGGGAGGGCAGGGCGGCGTGAGCAGCCAGCCTGTGCCTGACCCACACCAGGTAGGGAGGAGAACTCATGCTCCACGGCCAGAGCAAGCACTTATATTAAATGTTCATAGTAGTTTTGTTGTTATGAGAAAGTGTGTTGAGCGTGTATCTGTTCCCGCAGGGCCGTCCCAGCTCGGTATCCTCCCAGAGCAGCCAGCAGAGCATGAGGAGCTCGTCCTCCAACAAACACGTCTCCTCCTCCAACGCCACCCCGTCCTCCTCCTACTCCCTGCTCCAGCCCCTGGTGCCTGAGGTAAAGGAGATGAGCTCGGGATACACTAGGCTGAGCGCCAACCCCATGGTAGGAGAGAGAACCGCCACACACCCGCCGTTCGCTGTCTGCTGGCTAGCTGCCTAGCTGCCTTCTCCCTGTCTGGCTACTAACATCAGGAGAGAGGGACTGATATTTTTATGCGTTGTGTGTCCACCGGGAGCCTCTGCTCACAGCTCAGGTCTGAGTGCAGCTGTCTGTAGAGATGCCTGGTGGACACAGCCGTAGCTCTCTCCTTAATCTTTTGGGTTTCAGTCTGCTGTTTTTCATTTGAAATATTTTTGGGGCATCGACATCCTTATTTAGACCTTTTATACACGTCAACGTTTCAAGATCCTCATTTTAATCTATGACGTCAGTCTTATGAAGGTAGAAAAAACCTCACACTCAACCAAAGATAAAAAGGAGGTGTGTGTGTGTGTGTGTGTTTGTGGAAAAGTGCACACCCACACGGAACATTTGGTTGTGCAAACCTTGTAATGCAAGTTAGGTGACACCTGCTGACCAGTGTTTCCGTGGTAGCAATCAGTGACACCTGCTAACTAGTGGCACCAGAAGATAAAAGAGGAGAACATGGCTCATTATTTGTGGTTGAGGAGTTAGCAGAAGCACGGAGCCCTGCCACAGCAGCGAGGCTCTGCTGCAGGTCTGATTAATCTGCTTTTGGTCTTGCAGTACCTTTTTTTGAAGTTTTGCTCCAGGTGACATAAGAAGTTGAATACTGATGAAATATTAAATAAAAAGAGAGTTAACCGCTGGTAAAACAGCAGGTTGTACTTTCTTGGTCACCCTATTATCTATCTATGTAGCATATTTTAGTAATTGAGTAATTGGATATGACATTAGTCTGATATAATGTCCAATATCGATTGCTGCACAATGTTATTTTGTAGCAGTCACCTGGTGTAGATGTGAACAGTTTTCACGTTGTTGTTGAGTGTAGAGCCCTGGCACAGGAGAAGCATCTAGATACGTGCTAATGAGCCCATGTGACCCCCAGTTCCTGGCTCAGACACTGGAACTTAAAACAATTCAGGCCTCATTAGTATTAGTGGTAGCATTATGAGCCTCCTGATAGGGGCACCCATTAGATTCAGTAGGAATGATTAGTCGTACTACTAACTAGCTTTTTTTAGTGTCGTTTGAGGATGACGGCTGAAGCTTTGCCCCCAACAATGCTCACAGTGTCCAGCAAAGAGAACCAGCAGACTGAAATCCAGGTAATGGGTTTCCTTCTTTAACTTGGGCTCTGAACTGTGGATCCTCTCTGGCGGTAGGACACCACTAACTTGGGGCTGTGCCGCTAACTTAGTCCTGCCTTTCACACTCTGACACTAATCATTCACTCATCTCTGTGGTGCACATGTTGATGTTGTAGTTGGGGCTGCACATGAATCATATTTCATCATCATATTGGCCATGCTGAAACAGTTATTTATAATGCCTTCTCTGGTGAAACGGTCAAGATGCATCAGGTTTATTTAACAGTTGAGTTCCTCAGATATTCACATTGGAGTCTGCAGGTCCAAAAAGTGTTCATATGAAAGTCTGAGGTGATGGTCCGTCAACTCAGAGGTGTTTTATGCAGGGAAATGGAACTAGGGATCAATATTAATGTTTACTACCGAGTCATTTTATATTAAAACAGTGACATGCAATATGTATGTTTCCTTTTATTCTATGTTGTTGTTTTTTTTTACAGGATAAATAACAGTAAATAGTAATAATAATAATAGTAAATTTCAAAACTAGTTCTTAAAGAAAAGAGCTGAAGAAAAGGACAGCAGCAGTTAGAAGAATATAATAATTATCATAGATATCATAATTGCACATTAGAGTTTTTCAAATGCCTTTTGCTACCACAATTCATGGACCTCTTTATCATGAGGCTAATTATGACCAAATTGCCATATTATGACATTCTGCTTTACAATAATATCTTTTAAGAATAAGAAAAATCCTAATCCTGATGTCCAAGACTACGCAAATAAGATACTGTGATAAAATGTAATTATCAAAACACAATGTAACGATCCTCCTCAGTCGGATGAATTTGACCGTAATAGTGTCGATGATTTAGTGATTGTGAACGCCTCAGTTAATACTGTATGATATCGCTGTTGTGTTCTTTGACGTCTGAAGGTTTGAGTAAACCTTCAGACTGTCAAGCCCACAGAGAAAGAAGTGAATTGTCATCACAACAGAGAGGGAAATCAAAGATGTGCTCAGATGTGTGCAGCCCTGCTTTCCATGCTACACCTTCATTGTTGCTTTCTGCATTGTTGCCCTTGGTTTTTTGTGTGTGCATTTGCATTTGCGTAAGTCTGTCACAGCTACCTGCTGTGCTGTTCAGGCAGCAGTTTGGCATTTTCACAACTCCTTTCTTCCTCATCCATCTGATCTTCACCAGTGCATCAAACAGTTTTATTTTATCTGAGAAGTCACTCCGCTGTCGCTGATATTTTACTCTCTCTGGCTCTCTTCCCTTTCTCCACCTCCACCTCCCACTACAGCCGAAGCACCAGGACACTTTCTCTCTGGCCCCCCAGCGGCCCCTCACAACCATCAACCCCATCGGCCACTCCCTCCATCCGAACGGAGCGCCCACACTCAAGCCTTCCCCCGTGCCACGCACCATCCAGGCCATGCCCTGGGAGCAGCGCTCCCTCTACAATCAATGAGACTCCTTGGAACTAGCCGTCCCCCTTCACGTTGCGTCTGCGCCCCCCTCCTCCACACACACACACACCCTCCTCCCCACCCTTTTCGGACCCAGCATCAAGGAGGGAGGACTTGGGACGTCCCTCCACCGCCTCACTCCTCCTTTGGAATGTTGTTCGGGAATGGGGAAGGGCACCATTGAGAACTAGTTGAGATTGATTACTGAGTAGTTAGGTTTAAAAAAAATGTGTTGCCTTGACCCTCATGTATGATCTATGCCATGTACTGGATATAAGTTAAAATGTCTGTCCTCTCACTAAGGATTTCTCTCCCCAACCTCCCCATCCTCCTCTCCCTCTCTAGTTATGAAAATATCTATCCTTCCCATTATGAATAGTGTCTCTTCCCACCCCCACCCCCTTTTCCATATGTTAAATGAAACGAAAGGCTATTTTTATCAAGAGTGTGCTCCAAACCAGGGCGCCAAGTTGTCAAAGTAAATGTGACAGTTATTCTCCCTTCAGTCTGATATGTTTTTGAACATAAAACCCAACGTTTTTGTCAAATGAGGCTCCAGAAGCAGGACTGTGTATAGCGTGCATTAGGAGGTGTCATGACTATTTCAGAAAGGTGTTCGTTCCTGTCTGACATTACAGCGCCCACGCCTCTCATCTGCGAGCACCGACAGCAAGGACCACCACGGAAACGACCCAGCCGGCTGCTGTTCTGCGAAACATTTTGACATGTACGTGCCAGTTTGGCTTCTCTGTGAAAGGACCTCAACGTTCCCCAGCCACATCCACCGACGAGACCGTTTAGCTCCGTTACTTTCTTTTAACACAACTGAAAGCTCACTTATTTTCTAAACTTGCATCTGACTGGTGGCTTGTTGTTGTTGTAGTTTTAATAATCTGTTGGCTGGGAATCAAATCTCAAAAGATATCAGTAAGTCTCCATCCCTTTTGTTCCAAACTGACTGTTAACATGTTTGTTCCTTACACTTTAAAGCACTTTAAGACAAGTGCTGTATAATTATTACTGCCCCCCCCCTCCTCCACCTCCACCCCCACCCTCTTATTTAGAGCTGTACCAGCTGTGAAGATGTAACATTGCCTTACATCAACTCCTCATCAAGACTTCCTCACATGATCACCAGTGACTTAGCAGCAGTACTGGGCCCAGTTGGAGCCCATAACATGGCTGCATCGGGATACTACAGTGGCCAAAAACCAGCGTGTCTGCAGCTCTGGACACAGTAGGTCTGCACCCCCCCCCCCCCCCCCCCCCCCCCATCCACCTTGGCTCCGACACGCCCTCCAGTGTTGCTTGTCCTGTAGAAAATGTCATGCCTGCGTCTCACTGCTCCCAGGATGGATTTAGTTAACGCCCACCTGCAGGTGTTTCAATAAGCAACCAATCACAGTTGGCCGGGTAACTCCAAATCGCAAGATGAAGTAAATTTTGTAAACGGTCAATTTAATGAATAACAGTTTAATCATGAATCCAGTATGTAGTTCTGTTACGTTATCTCGCTAACATGGTGTTCATTGAAATACCCACAATTCTACTGACATTGTATTATCTCTTTTTAAAGTTGTTTCTATTTTTATTCATGACATGTTTTCATTGTTGCTTTCTCTCTCCTTGTAAAGTGTCTTTTTGAGTATTTAGAGAAGTGCTATACAAATAAAATGTTTTATTATTATCACCATCAGTGCTACTTTTTTTATGTAGAAGACAAGATGAGTAAATGTCCAGTTTAGGGTCTTTTTTATTAATGGGGGAAAAAAAGTCATCATTTGAATTGTTTCAGAGAACTAGAAAGATGCATATAGATATATTGCTTGGAAATTTAACTTGTCCGCTGCTGTTTCCAAGGTCAAGAATGAACTTTCAAGCTCAGCTTTTAAGCCAACAAGTCCTAAAAGTGCTCAGAATAATGAAAAGATAAAACCTCAGCAGTTCCTTGATAGCTGAATATACCTCACCTGCTGATGAAGACCATGTGATCCGGGCAAAATCTCCAGAACAAGCGAGTAAGTAGACCTTGAATGACAACTGAAACAGACTTTATTTTCAGTTCTAACCCAAATAGTTTGATTTTTATGTTCGTTTCCCCAATGGTGAAGTTTGAATAGCCACCAGAGGGCGACATAACGTATGTAATCTCAAATAGACCATAAATGGACCTTCAATCCAAAAATAAACCATAAAATAATTTGGACTTTACAACAGTAATGATTCTTTATGGAGTCCGTGGAGACTTTTTGCTGTTAATGACTGTTAATACAACCATTGAGTAAATTAATATTTCAATCAAAGGCCACGTTCTTTTAGAGGACATGCGATCTATCACGAGACAGATGGATCCATGAAGTGTCTGCAGGTGCTGGGTAACACCTTTCATGATATATGTGACACATTTCCACTACAGACTGTTTTCCTCAGGCAAAGGTGCGGGTGTGAGTGAGCACAACAGTTGCAGTAAGCTGTGTGTGCTTTATCATAAATACCCTTTAATGACAAAATAAAAACATCTCCGCTAAATTCTTGTTATCGTAAATACCCCCCCCCCCCCCCCAAGTTATTATCTAAGTTAGTTGCCTATTTAGTAGATAAACCTTTAACAACAAACCTGCTGAGGCTCAGTCCGGTTGCATTGGGGTCGAGAGAGAACAGCAAGAAATTCTGGACCGGTCTGACCGGCGTTTAGTCTGGGGGCCAGCAATCTTCATTTTGGTCTCATCAGACCATGACAAACTTTAGCTGAGATGTCATGTGAGATTTAGTTTTCCTTTCTCTTGTCCACACTCCCATAAACTGTCAGATGGAGGAACTCTCCACAATCACGCGATACTCCGTACATGACGAGCTGCTGATGGACTTTAATCTGTGTGACCTGTGGGGAGCTGATGATAGCCTAGTATTCGGTGTTTCCTCCGGTTTTGGCTACTTTCCAGGGTAAGATAGTCTATGTAGTGCACCACGAAAACTGATAAAACCCAGACTGGTTTCGATCTTTGTTTGGATATCACTTTTAATGTCTAGCGTGCAAGCCCTCCTACATTTAAACTTTATTCATTATGTTTCATCAAATAGCCTAGATAAATCCCCCTTTTCTCTGCAGACCCGCCCGGATCTCTGTCAGTTTTCTGGTTGCCGGAAGCCCTCCACGTGTCTGAATCTTCCCCACATTGATCAGTAGCCTAATATCCTGATCTGCGGGAGCTTCCCGAGGCTTTAAAAAAAGAGAGAGAAACAATATTTCAGATTGACTGCTAGAATTATGATCCAAGGTTGATCAAAAATCGACTTGGGTAAACATAATAAAATAGTAGCCTATAGTGGAAATAAAGGCTCAGCCCTTTAAATGATTTCATCTGAGCCATGCTTCCTGATGTGAAAGTAAGCATCTGGAGAGGATAAACACAATTTGTGGCCAAGTTATTTATTCCTTTTTCTAAGTTTAAAATCTTCAGTAGGCTGTTTGGATTAGAGACTGGACTGGTTTTAAATCAAACGGTTTAAAGCCATTTATATTGATGATTATTAGGCTATTATAAGTATGGTTGTTTTTATTATTATGACAAATTAATATCAATGACATGGCACATGGTTTCCACAGGTGTCGTCCATTTATTCCCACACTATCAAATTATCTCATCAAACGCCGTGCACGTGGCGGGCACGCGCATTATAATTCGACTCTCAAAGAAATGAATGAGCCGACCCGCGTGCCGTTATCGGGCTGATTAAAGCCTTTGAAGTAACCCGCCGCGCGAGACCCGGGTACGGGATACAGTGAATTAATATCCACTTGTAGTTGGACGGAGCGTTTGTTCTGTGTCGCCGCTGGTTATTGATAAAAAATTATTTGCCTTTTCGATGGCCAGGCTCGGTTTTGGCGTTTCGGGGCCTCTGCTGATCCAGACCCGGTAGTTGAAACCCTGCGGCTGGTTCGTCTACACAGCATGCTGTAAATGATTTCTGACGGCTAATAATCTACATATGAGTAGATTCGTTAGGAACAGCTGTGTCGCTGGACGTGACCAGCCGGAAAAGTTTTTTTTGTCAAAACAGGAACATATGGCTTCCTAGTAGAGCCCGCGAATTAAATCTACGGATTTTCTTTACAAGTAGCCTAAATTGTCTGGGACGAAAATGTGTGTTTTGGTCATAGTCGTTTTAATAACATAATGTAGATAATAATGAGGAAAGAAATTAAAGCCGGGGATTGTCGTTTCAAAATTACGTTCTTGTCATTGGGCGAATTAATTTGTTAATACGCCCTACATAAAACAGATTTTTGAAGACATTTGCTGCAAACTAAAATGTAATATTCTATTACGACCGAATAATTATTGTTGCGCCTCGGCAGGCCTCCCAGCTGAAGGCCCCGGATTCCCGTCCGGTGCCCAACCGCAGGCCCGGGTGTAGTGGCCTGGGCGGGCCGCTTGGTGGCGGTAGTGACTCGGACTGGAAGCGAGAAGGAGCATTTTGTATAATTTACTGTAGGCTGTTTTACTTTACAGCCTCCAACCGCAACCAGAACAAACAGTTAATGTTATTTTAGGCATCATTAACAAAAGTTAAAAGCGAGTTAAAGCAGACTTAACCGATTTAAAAAAAAAAAAAAAAAAAACTGATAAAAATTAAATAGGCAAGCATTACTCGAAACTAAAATGTGTTCAGTTAAGTTTTTTTTTATCCAATTAATTTGTCAAAAGTATCCGACAAGTAGGCCTAGGCTACAGGTAGGAAGTCGACTGTTTCATCTTAGCTTTTAGGATAATAAACTCAGGGACAGGGCCTGCGTTTGTTCCTCTTCCACCCATAGCCTACTTTGTAGTTACGGATAGAACAGGATCCCTTCTATTTTACTATTTTCTTTTCTTGCCTTGTCTTTTCTTACCCATCCTTTATAAACTGACCGTTTTAAAACAAAATCTAAAATTGAAAAAGGTGACACTCATGTTCACAACCCAATAAACGTTTATTCTTCCCGTTTATGAAATTCCTCTCAGTGGCTTGGTGTCATGTTAAAACCTTTTTAATTTTTGTGTTTGTTTCTGATTATTCAGCCTGGTTTTCAGTACAACATGAAGGGACATTTAGCCTTAAGCAAAAACGTCCACATTTCCTCCTGTCATCATCGCTGCCTTTGTTTTTTGTTTCTCCAAATCAGCGGGTCCTCTGAGAGGAAATCCCCCACCCCCCTCCACCCTCTCTCTCTCCATTTTGTGCGCTTTGTAAGAGCAGCTCGAGTCTTCTCGCTGTCCACCACATGAGGGATATAGGACTATTATTTTGATCGAGCTCGTCGGTGAGTCCGATTAACAAATGGTTAAACTCCCTGAAATGGTGTTTATTTTATTTTATTCGTTCATCAAGTCTTAACCGGCCCTCATAGAAACATGTAGTTTGCCTGGGATCGAGGCTGCACGAGGGAATCCAGATCTCCCTCAAATGAAACGGATTCAAAATAGGGAAATGAACATTAGAAATGAATCTGGAATAGAAAAAAAAACGCACGTCAGGAAATTTGTGAGCAGGTCTCTTCACTTGTTGTAGAACACATTCTGTATTTACTGAATCGACCCAATTAATTAGATTATCTCCATCAATTATTAGTAGGCTATATTCACTGTGAATATGTGGGATGTGTGTTTTTGTTATTTTTTAAAGCTCCCGAGTGTGTTTCGCATAAGAATAGCGATTTAATACTAATTATTTCACATAGCTGTTATGACGTGTGAGAAAACAGTCTTGCTTGTGTTTGAACATTTCTCACTCTGTAATGTTTTTGTGCTGGACTTTTGTGGGAAACACTTTAATAAAATGTCCTCACTGAAAAAGTCATTTTTAGGCCTACTCCTGGATTCATTTTGCTTCTCAGTTAGTTTTGATGTTGTCCCTATGGCTGCAAACTTGAAACTCTATATTTGATTTCTAGAGTCCCTGCTCTGTATTTCCTTTGTAAACCTGGGCTTCTTGTCCGGATCACAGTGACTCCACTTGCTGTGGGAAATGTTTCAGCTCTGAATTTCTGGTTGACTCTACTGAAAAAGGCCTTAAACTCCCTAGAAATGTTCTCACCAATCTAATCTTCTCTGCCCTGTAAAGTAAGACTTCTAAACAATGTTCTAAAAGTGAAACACTTCACATCACATAGCAAGAGATGTATTATCCAACCAAATTATGTGCGGCAACATATGAAAGTTTACCACAGTTTGATCACTGAAGTATTCTGACAATGGAAATGTGTTGCAGTGAAGTTGTTTCAACTCACATAGATTAGCTCTGGACTGATGGGGACTATGTTCATTCAGCAAATGAACACACTGGATTGCTCAAATGTATTACAACAACTGTGATTGATGCCTTACTGGCAGAGGTGGAATATAACTAAGTACATTTACCCAAGTTCTTAAGTTTGTGGTTCTTGTGCTTTACCTAAGTAGGCTATTTCTATTTTATGCCACTTTATACTTTTATTGATCATTTTTACTTGCTACATTTATCTGACCAAGTTAGTAGTTACTTTGCAGATTAAGATTTTACATAGAAAAATATGATTATAGTATAAATATGATGACATTGTTACAGATTAAATCACTTAACCTACAGTAATTACAATCATGACAATCAGCTCCACCCAACTACCTTCTGTGTCAGTAATAATAATCCAATAAAATGATAGTATGACACACTTTTGATGCGCCATGTACATTTTTAAACTGTGGTATTTTTCTTATACTGGAGTAACAGATCAGAATACTTCCTCAACACTGATTTCAGGAAATACATTTAATCACATTTCTATCCTCCATAGTGGGCTTTTCTAAACAGATGTCATTAGCACATAAAGTATACAATTAATTGCTGAAAAACATTCAACGAAAAAGAGATTTTCAGCCCTCTGCCGAGCTGTTTCACTAAAACATGAATCACTATCTGTCACGTGAGGCTGCTTCACTCTCAGTTGTTGCCAGCACATCCTGTTTCCGTGATGTCGGCACAGGAAGTTATTTTGTGTTTTAATTGAAAGTGAAATGTTGTTAACACTCAAACTCCATGACATGGTTAGAAATTTGCCCCATCGAGCTGGTAAATAACCAGGCCTGCCTGAATGTCAAATGTTTCCATTATTCAGGCGAATTCTTAACTGTAGCAGAATTTGAGAACCTTTTTTATTCCGAACCGTCCAATTTGTCTCTATTCTAAATATTCTACATGACTTTCAGATCATTTTATACACAGGGCTTGGCAGTTCAGCTTGTCATAGTTCATATTTTCTGGAACATAAGGATGTAAATTGCTGCAGATTAGAACAATTGAGGCCTCAAATCCTGCATTTTATAGCAACAGAGCCAGTGGTTTGGATTTTTCAAATTAAGAACAATCTTTGTTTTGAGGCTACAGCACTGATTTAAACTTGAGGGGGAAAACAAAATGAACACGGCTATTTTAACCAAAGAGTTGAGAATTTCTACTGAGCCGGTGTGCGTTCACATCCATGACATATTTAACATAAACAGTTATTCCGATGAGACGTGATCAAATATGAAAAGGGAAGGCCTCCTTTTCTTAACAGGAATACAAGATTTCCCTTGCAATTTCTTAAAGCATGAAAGTTCATTCTTTACCTTGAAATTATAGTTTAATAACAACTATGCTAACTCAAGGTTAGGTCAGTTTACTTGCTTTTTTAAACAGCATCAAGAAGAAGAAGAAAAAGCAGGAACAAATAGTAAGTTGACCTTGAGTCAGGGTTGTTTTGTTGATTGTTTATCTTGGTCGCTTTGTTCAGATTTTATGACTTTACTCTCTTACAGAAACAAACACCTATACTGTCCACTGTTCATGCATATGAATACATATATCGGTTGTACAACATATAAAACAGTCTTGACCACCTGTTCACTAACCACCCTATACTTGTCACCTCTGAATAACTACAACAGAAGAAAAAACGAATCATACTTATTCATTTTGGAACATCCCAGTGAAACATGAATAAACAACTCTCTCCTCCTTCAGCCACAATTATGCAGGTTCCCAGTGAGCAAGATATCCCAACTGAAGAATGGAGCCTCAGCTCCCTGCTGTGAATTCAAAGCAAAAGGTCAGTCCACCTCTCCTGAAGGCACAGTGTTTTTACATTAAGATATTAAAGAGTGTTTTTCTTATTGTTTCCTAACTGTGATGCTTGAGCTTCACTGTGCAGGGTGATGTATGTGCAGAGTTTGTTTTCACATTCATCTGCTGAAGTGGCGTTTCTCTGTGCTCACCTTAAATCTCAGTGCAACACCTGCATTTACCAGCAGGATTTTGTGACATCACAGCTAGTTTAGAAGCCAAGCATGGTCCAGATTGCAACTGAAGTAAAGCCTCCAGCACCCATAGTCAGTGAAGTAGCAGACATCTTGTGTCAAGCCATTAAACTTGTGAAATAATATTTGTTTTTGAAACAATATTTGCTTATCCATAGGGCAGTGTCATTTTAGTATTTTAAATTTGGTTATTGTAGTTTATTATTCAAACAGAGTATTTTTATGTCTTAAGCCATATCGTTAATTTTACAGAAAAGACTGGCTGATAAACAAATGCCTGCATGTTATTTCAAAGTAGGCATGTGAAAAGGTTTGTGTTCATAAATCCTGGCTTCTCAAGGACTATTGTGCGTGTATCAAAGGTAAACAGTCCCATAACATAGGAAAATGATCCGTTTATGACACATCCAAAAGGCATGATAAAAGTCAGCACCTACTACAGGCCGTGTAAGTCGATGCTGCTCCAATGGCCCAAACATTCACTTTTCCTTCATATTTTCACACCTCGTGGATGCGTAATAACCGGCTCCATCCACGTCAGTGTGCGGGCTTTTTGTCCAGTGTAATCTGAAAACTGCTATTTCTTTTTTTTTTAACCCTGCTCTGTTTCTTTTGCCCTCTGTCTTACAACTATGTTTTGGTAGCACAGACCTTAATTCAATGTATCTGATTCATTTAATGGTCGGCTTTCCAATTTTATTGCCAGTACAACAGAATGAGGAAGAGAGCGGGAGGCCTTGTATGGATCATCACAGAAATATAACAGGGCACTATGAAAGTAAATCAATTTCTGCTATCATTTAATGTTTTTTACATATAAAATTCATCAACTTTAAGCATAAATCAATGAGTTAGGGGTTTATTTTAACATGTTGCAAGCTTTTCATACATTTTTCTTTTCAACACACTTTCAGTTGAGAAGTCATCCGTGAGGTTAATAAAGTCTTCTGAGATGTTTTCCCTTATAACTCAAGCCAGTGTTTAAGTGGTTGTTTTAGGCCTACTTTGCATTCTTTCAGATTTTAGATATTTAAAATATTTAATCTAGTCACGTTGACATGAAAACGTTTTTTTTGGTGGTGAAGATGGAAAAAAATTAATTGGGACCTTTGTGACTTAAGCGACAAATCTTAAACGATTTTGAAATCTGTTCCATTATAGTTCTTATCAGTTAATACCAATGAGATGCAGACTGAGTGTGCATCTTAGTAATCAAGAGCAGAACGTACAGTTAATCCCTTCTCCCCTTTTTGCGTCTTTTGTTTCCAGTTGTTCAAAGTTCAGGTTGTTAATTTCAAGTTCATTTGATATAGATGGAAATTACAAAGTCTATTTCTACATTCTCAGAGGACTTGTTGAGAGGTCAACAAAGCATGTTTATATTTAAGCTTTATTCCATGCTCTTATTTGTCCCTTTCCATGTAGATCCTTATCAAATAAAATCTTCTCAAGGTCCACTTACTTACGGTTTCATGGTCTTGTGGTTGTTTAAATAATGGAGAGATTTGAAAGCTCTGGAAAATCAAGTAGAAGCTGAGTTAAGATTTATAATAGAGTTCATTTTTGACCTCAGACAAAACAGTTTTACCTTCCAATCTATTTAGTGGCTGTTCTATAGCAGTGATTTTCATCAGCATATGCACAGTTTCCACTGAAATGTAGATGTTCAAATTTCCATTTTTATCTGAGCAATAAATATACTTGATCATGTGATCCAGAACAGCTACAAAACAGATCTCAAGGTAAGATTACTACATCTATACAACTACTACTACTACTACTACTATATAAGTAGGTTAAGATTAAGGTAAGGTTCTGTGTTCTTAATGAATGAAGTTCAAAAAAACAAAACAAAAAATACATTTTCTGAATGGTAAAGAACAGGAGAACACCTGCACATTCATTAGAACTAGGTTTTTGTGGGTCTTAGCAGGTGGAGAGAGCACATGTGTAATTAAACTCACTCACTTTCGCTGTCTTCACTGATTTGTGTTGGCCCCACATCTGTCCAGCTTTCACTTCAAGGAAGTCTGTCACAAGTGCTTTTTTGGGTTTTCTAATAAGCACTTACACACACACACACACACACACACACACACACACACACATACAAATATCTGTGTGTACTTTTTCAGACTGTTAACCTAACTAATGCAAAAACTTAATTTTCTAGACTATAATCATCACAAGCAACCCACAGCGAAGAGTCCGTATGTCTGAGGTCATATTATAGAGGAACACTGGGGGCAAGAAATAATAAGGGGAACAGGTAAAATGAACAGGAATAACATACAGGTACTAACAATCTGTTTCTGCACACCGACGGTGGATCTCATTAGTCCAGCAGGAGACATCCTGTTTCTCTTCTTATTGCAGCAATATGCATGGAAAACATTTGATTACATGCGATCAACATATGTGAACAGCAGACAGGAAGCGTGTTCACACATTACTGACAACTTGTTCTCTTTGTAACATTTGACAGCATGAGGAGAGGATCTGTGGAGAAAAGAAGGGAGTTCGTCAAGGGGAAGAAATGGCTTGATTCACAAAGAAATGACATTTAGATGATCAGAAAAATGCAGGTGTAAACCATAAACATTAGGTTTGCAAGTAACCTATTTACATTAAATAACAAAGATGCCAGTATATAAGCAGCCCTCTGCAATTTGGTGAACTGTGGGCCTTAGAAGTACAACATAGAGTTTGTTTTACATTTAGAAAACGGAAATGTATAGTCAATTGTTTTTGTTCAGTTATGAACAACTGATGCCTGGATCTCATTATTTGAACGAGGGCTTTTCTTTCTGTCTATAAGTGACTTCTTCCTGTCTCAGCAGCCTCATCATTACAGTAGAGGCTGTCTAATGAGGACTGTTCCTCTCTGTCTGTCTGTTTCTGCAGGAAGGCATTGAAGTTGCACAAGATGTTTTCTACCTGCAAGCTCTGGAAGAGGAACACCGCGCTTGGGAATGCCACAGAGGGAAAATCTGAATTGAGATTTTTCATGATGTTAAAGCATCAAAGTACTCTTTGGATGCTAAGGCTATTTGGCAATTTCTTTGAAGCTCTTCTTGGTTCTTTTTTCATTGTGAGTAAAAAGATAAATAAAATAAAAACTTTTCCCAACCCAGAAGAGCTCCTGGCAGGCGATGACTTTTCAGTCTGAACAGCCACTTTGACCTGTAAATCCCTCACTGAGAGTCAGCTGGCCATAAGACCCTCGCCACTTTAATTTTAATGAATGACATGTAATGACACAAATTCTAACCTAACACTTTAGACACCATCAACTAAAAATATTTCTCCATCTACTGAAAGGCTGATGTGACCCATGACCCTTACACTGCCATTCATTGCTTATGTTGTCAGGGATCTTAAAATTAAAGGGTAAGGTTGGTATTACTGTATATTTTTCTTTTTGTCAAAGTCAAATCTCTTGAAAAGACACAAAACCAACGATCTGTTTTGGTCTTTCTCTCAATGCTTTGACTTCCTTGCCCTGTCAGAAATCTACCCTGCACAACAATGGAGCTCTATAGTACAGAGGAATCAGATATGCAGGCTTTGATTCACACAGAAAGCTTGGTAGTAGAAACATTCATTATAATTTTAAGACAATAAGAAAAGACTACCACCAGGTCTATGCTTTAAAGCATAGTCTATATGTAAATGTTAAAATTACCGTCAAGCTTATCATCGACTTCACAGACAGATGTAGCTGTTCTCTGGGTGTTGTTACTCCTCTAATCTTTCAAATCAAATGTTTCACATAACTGGAATGCTTCGAATGGCTTTGGAGCTCATAATACATTTCCCTAATAGCTCAGCTCTGTGAGAAATGAACATGTGATTTAAATGTATTGCTAAACTGGCAGTCAAGATGGGAAATGACCAGCAACCACAAACAAAACAAATATCCTGTCGATTCTCTGTCTCCCTTCCTGGCCTCTTTGGCAGGTAAATAGCTGTAATTTGGAGTCTGATTAGTTGGATGGCAAAATAGTGGCTAGTGCCTCTTTGGTCACTGTTTATGGTGACTTTGCATTCAAACTGAAGAAATAAAAGTAGCAATATCACGCAGGAAATCAAAGCTGCACTACTTTATTGAGGGACATTTATTGTGTTGTAGTTGTGTTGGTTTGCAGCGCCACATAACGTTTTATATTACATTTTGGACAGTATCATAAATATGAAAACGCATTATTACGTCATCATACAACATTTCAAAGAGGTAATAGTATAATATTACACGCAGGACAGAAGTAGAAGAAAAGAGGAACATTATATTTGTAGTTTGTCTCCTCCTTCTGCATTCCCGCCTAATTCACCCTGTTTCTCCTCAGCCTTTGACCTATCCACCCCTCCCCCAAAACACACACAGGGGAAGACTGTTGACAGGGTAAAAAAAATAGAAGTAATTTCCTGATGCGTCTTCCTCCAAGGTGTTTGGAAAAAGAATGAATATGAAGTTGTGGTGGAATACTGATAGCATTTACATTTTATAATACTTTTCTGCTTTGGCTCCACTACATTTCAGAGGGAAATATTGAGCTCATTTCATAATTTTAGTCACTAGTTACTCTATAGATGAAGTGCTATGATGCACGGTAATAGACTGAACAAGCCAATAGTATATAAAATAGTTGAAATTCGTAGAGTTGCAGACAACAAATTAATCTGTAAATATTTTAATAACTGAGTAATCGTTAAAGTCATGCCAAACATTTGATCAGCTTCATGAATGTGAGAGTGTGGGTCGTTTCTTGTATTAACATTACAATAAGTTGACTAACTCCTGGTTTAGGGCTGTTGGTTCGATAAAACAATAAATCTTTAAGACATCCTCCTGGTCTGTAGGAAATGCTGATGGCCATGTTTCACTGTTTTCTGATGCGTTATAAACTATTAAGACAATAGTTGGAAGATGAATAAATTAAGACAATAATCTTTAGTTGCAGCCTAACCACCCCCCCCCCCCCATCTCTCCATCTCAACCAGCTACAACACTAAAAGTACAACACTAACAGGGGCCATTGTTCTGCATTACAAGTTCTTTTACTTTTTATACTTTCAGTACATTTAGCTAATGCTAAATGCAGGACTTTACTTGTAGTGGAGTATTTTTACTTAGCTCTACTGCAACTTTTACTTGAGTAAAAGATCTGAAAACTTTGTTTCACAGATCAGTTTGTGAACATGTTATCCGGATCATACTCAGCCACCAAGGAAACATTTAGTGGAAGAAAAAAAACATTTGTACAACAAAACTTTTTCATTAGGAACAATAGGACAATTAATAAACTATTTACAAACATTTTGGAATAAAAAAAAAGTAAGCCAAACTAATGTCATTACAATTTCAAAGTTAGGTGACTAACATACAAATGTTAAGTTTATATAGGATAAAAAAAAAAACTGAGAACATGTTCCTACTTCAGATTGAATAGGTAGATTTAGATTTCCTATTTTTAGTTTTCAATTGTAATCCCAGGTGTAGTGAAACAGATGTAATATTTATTTCTTGCTAGAACACTTAAGAAAGGTTGCCCACAAAAGTATGTTAAATATGTTGCATTCTATGTGGTTATTTGACCCTTGGAAACCCTAGCCTGTGACCTCACCAGCTCCCTGGGACTCCTTGTGAGTGTGTGTGTGTGCGCGCGTGTGTGTGTGGGTGGGTGGGTGTGTGTGTTCAGAGAAAGAAAGAGAGAAAGGCAGGGAAGATGGGTTTAGGCCAGCTCAGGACAAGGAGTGTGTGTCCTCAGAGAGCTTGTGGGGGGGGGTGCTGAATCTGTAGCAGATTTAGAGCAATAAACAGAGGATTAAATGTCACACTGATCTGAAAGGTAGTTTTTAGTTGACTAGCAATAACATATTGAGATCATATTAAACCATCCTGAAGCTGTGGTTACTGCATAATACAGTATTAGCCTACTCTGTGTTTCTATTGTTCTACTAATCTATTAATAATATTGTGTTTAGGTGCATAATGCTTATTGTTTTAGTGTTATAAAATATGTTATAAGTGATGAATTAAATTGATTTGAGATTAACCCATGGTAAAATAAAATGTTTGCTCTGTTTGTTGATTTGATCCTGTCCCAAACATTCTATATTGACATCCTGGGATGAGAATGTGTTGCGTATTCATATGCTTTCAGGACTATTATATGGGCCAATACAGATATACATACCCCTAAATAAAACCAGAGGTTAACAAACACAAAAGAAATTAGCCAAATAAATTGAGAATAAAAGCTTTGCTGACAGTATTTCATTTAATGCAGTCACAACCAAATATGGACACAACCGCAGGTTTCATGCTATATGCAGATGAAAAAAATAGCAATGCTTTTATAATACAATGTCCTTGTTTGTAAATGCCACCCATGATGAAGCAATGGTTACTATACAAGCAGTTGGAGGGTTTGGATCCATTTTGTGCACAGGAGCCATTTTCTAACCAAGCCAGCCCATGAGAGTGCCACGTTGCCTCCAGGCATGGACACAAAGTCTAAATAGTTTTAGTCAAACTGATTATTTTAAAACCCAATTCCAGACGTGTCGAAATGTATCCTAAAACAGGAAAACGTGAGACACGCGCACCACGGACACACAATGCGCCAAAAGCAAACCACAGCCAAACTCTGTATGTGTGTGGGTGGGGTGGGGTGGGGGAGGCCTGCGCATCAGTCACTGCCTCCATTTTGAGAAGCCTCCATCCACGCAGAGGGGCGCGCCATTCTATCATTTCCTCAGCGCCACACTCAGAGAAATATTATAAAACGGATGAAAGAGGCGCTAACAACCCTGCTTGGACGGGGCGCACACTGCTGAAGTTGTATTTTAACTCTGGGTATGGCCTGTTGGCACCTTACTGAGGAAGTACAACCACAACTGTGTTCTCCTTAGTCCAAGTCTCCTAAAAGCAGCGATGCAGTTTAAGCAGGCTGTGAGCTACTGAGAAATCTGACCGCCTTGCTACAGTAACCCGGGCTCTGCTATGTACGCCGCCATACCTGATACATTGTTTGGTTAATTGGGCTATGGGTGTAGGCGACAATGTATCCAAGTGAGTAGAGGGTTTATGGAGGTTCCAGTAGCAACACCCTTGTGGCCCCTGAGGCAAAATGAGGCCCTGGAGCTTTTGTTCCCCGGCTCCAAACAGCCTGAGGTTCAACGTAGGTCATTTATGTAACATCATGACGACTAACTTCTTCGCAACGCATCATATTCAACCAGCGGGCGGGAATATGAGGGAGGAGGTGGGGGTGCTACGCTATAGAATTAGCAGGCGGCGCCTTGTTATTTAAATGTGAATGTTCTTGGCCACCTAGGCCTTCAGCTATTCAGGGTATGTTGAGCGAAGTGTGCGAAAGCAGTAAAACGGTTCGACGCCCAAAAGGTTGTCCACTCTAGCTTTTAGCTTACATTACTTTTTCGTGCAGGAAGTCTCTCTATATAGCCTAATCTTCTCCAGCATGAGCAGAAGCGCATGTGTGGCGTCGTGTTGCATAAAACCCCGAGCACAGTAGCTCCACAAACCGCACCGTGCACACCTAGCCTATAGTACAGAATGGAGCGAGCACGGCGCGGAGTGAGGGGTCTCGGTTTGTGTGACCAAGCGCGCGTGCACATGTACACACGCGCTCATCTGGTGAATACCCTAGGAAGAGAGGGGGATGCCCCCTCCCGTTTCTCCTCTCTCTAACCTACTCCAAATATACCACGTGGTTTCCTTTTTGCAAACAAAAAAAGAAAAAAAATGAATTGGAGTCGGTGGAGGGGCGGCGTCACCCCTCTGCCGGCAGCAGGCGGGTCGCTGAAAGAAGGAAGGGTAGAAACTAGAGAGAGAGAGAGAGAGAGAGAGGCGGAGAGAGAGGAAAACATTTTCCCGACCTGATCCCGCCATAGTTTTTCCCACCCTTCCACTATAGACCCATCGCCAAATCCACCCAGTACAACCCACCTCCTCCACAGTGCGATAGAGGCATTAGGCTGCTGCTTTATTCGTCTGCCGGGGCCGGCTGCAAGTCAAGGGATTTCATTTCTTCTTCTGCTCCACTTATTCACCTGGATTTACAACTAAATTCAACGTTATCGTCTGTTTTTACACTTCTGAAATCTCTTTTTTTAATTTTAGTTTGCTGCCGTAAATTTGTATTATTTTCTAGGTCTTTTTTTATTTTTTATTTTTAGAAATTCTTGCTTCGACCGTGATTTCCACTTTCATTTAGTGTGGCAAGACTGACAATAGCCTATCTTGTTGCGCTAATTCAGGAGATAAACTTTTTGCTGGCTTCAGTTTTTGTTATTACGGACTTTGATTTTTTTTTTTCGTTTTTGGACTTGGAAAAACAATCTCCACCATGCACAAGCTATACATTGGGAATCTAGGCGACAGCGTGACTGCCGAGGACTTAGGAAAAACCTTTGACGACCACAAGATCCCATACTCCGGACAGTTTCTAATGAAAACCGGCTATGCGTTTGTGGATTGTCCTGACGACCAGTGGGCCATGAAGGCTATCGAGACGTTTTCTGGTGAGTTAAGGTGGACCACTGAACGCCAAAGACCCCCTTCCACCTTTAGTTTCATTCATTATAAAGGCAAGCGGTAGACGCCGGTGTACAACCACGGCTGCATGCCTCCTTCAGCGGTGTGCCCCAGTTTCACTCTCCGTCCACCTCCGAGGCTTCTAGCTACCCGAACATGCCTGATAAAAATAAATTAAAACAATTATTTTTATTAATGGTAGCTTAACAGTGTGTGGGGAGCTACACGCCCATGGGGAGCCATTGAACTTTTGTTGAGGGGGAGGGACACACGTAGTGTAAACGTAAAGCTATATCCTACTGTGAAGCCTGAACCCGTGGCTAACGTAAAGCACTACTTCATAATATTGCTATTTGACAAATAAGATGTATATGTATACATATGTATATTCCTGTGATAACTGTGCGTTTCAGGCTAATATATGCATTTGAGTTGATGTCTTGCAAGCCTAGCATTAGATTGAGTTCTCTCCAGTGATATAGTAAGCCTTTCTGGCTCCCCTCCCCCTTTAAGCAGACAGTCCACTATGACAAAGATAGAAAAATATCTTACCCTGTGCACATGCCAAAGCAGGCCTCACACCACAACGACTCCAAAATTATCAACGAGCAGCACCATGACCGTTAAAGCTGGATTCGCCCCGTGGTTTCAGTGCTTTAGCCCATTTCTCGTGATTTCCTACATATGTAACGTGTGGAGGCAAGGTCGCCATGCCTGTCATCTCCCTCTGCCTCTTAGGCTATATGAAACCCCACGAACCACCAAAACCCCCCCAAGACAGCCCTTTTATACAGCGTGTGGACTTGAAATCCTTTAAAAGACTCAAGGCTAGTCACACCTTTATACCATATTCTTATGGCTGTCATACTGTATTTTATATAACCCAGTTTAAGTAGCTCATTATGGGACAGAAGTGATGCGCCTACACAGTTCAAATGTTCCATGAATGTTTGGTCTTGTTTTGGGCCCCGAATCTGTCTTCCTGTCACCTGCTTCTCAGTTTGGTTAGGTTTTTATTAGTTCGGCTATTTGGTAAGCCTCAGGTTTAAAGAAAGTTAGTTGTAAAGGGACCTCCACTTTAGCTATGCACCCTGAAAAGGAGCATATCCCTCCCCATGGGCCTGCAGTAGCTAGTAAACACTTAGCATGTAGACACAGTGTGTTCTGAACCCCCGTTTCTTATGTTTTGTTTATTTTTTTCAGGTAAAGTGGAGCTTCAAGGGAAACGTATTGAGGTCGAGCACTCCGTCCCCAAGAAGCAAAGGTACTAAACAGTATGCAGCATAATATCACCCCTCCCCCTCCTCTCTACTACCCCTTTCATGTGTTGCATCACTTTAACTAGGCCTTTACTGAATAGAGTTCTAACTGAATACAAGGTTTCACTGGTTTGCAATATGTGGTATTTTGAAATGTGCCCAGGTGTCTCCCTTGTGTTGAGGGACAATTGAAAGCTTAGTTCGGCACTGTAGTAGTTACTTCGGTTGTGTTTTTTGGTGTTGGCGTGACTGTGTGGAGCCTCAACTTTTGTCGGCCATTGCTGTGAAACTGTAGCCTACTGTGAAAGCTTTAGCTAGCTGCCTGGCGTGCTGTAGAGTGCAGTTGGCGTTTTCTCTTCGTTTTAAAATGCTGGTGTTGGTTGAGTGGTAGCTTATGGAGTGAATCCAGTGAGCATTCACTTATAATATTCCGTGCAAAGTCATCACAAAAGGCTATAAGCACCTCCTATGCATTTATTTAGCCTTTTACACGGGATTTTAAAATACAGTGGGAAATGCACATTTGAGAAATATGTGTGTGTCATGTGGTTGTGTCATGGCTACATTCAGCAACTTTTTTACTTTCACAAAATTGATTTACTGTGTGTGTGTGTGTGTGTGTTAATATTTGGAGTACATTCACCTTCTGGCAAATCATTTAAAAAAATCTAGACAGGTCGCTATGACGGATTAATTGATGGTTAATGCATGATAATTATTTGATTTATTAATTTGATTTGGTTAAATATCTCCAGCCAATATGTAGGCTAAATGTTTAAGTTTATGTGGTTTAATGGAGTCCTCATTGTTTCAAAATGTTGAATAAATTGAGCATACATGTTCTGTAAAATCTCATTAATTCCTTGTAAAAACACAGCTATGGCTGAGTTTTTATGGATAATAATTGTACCGTTTTTTATTATTTTTGAGCTTTTAACCTTTCAGTAGCCAGCTATGAAATTAAAATAGGACGGTGATGTAAATATTTGCACAATTTATAAAAAAAAAAAAAAAAAGCAAAAACATTTAGTTTATTGTCATTATTGTTATTGAACCTGCGGTTTTAGACTTTAGTCTGTAGCTTAGATTTTCCTCGGTCCAAAGGATAAACGGGGGTCCATTTTAGTTCAGCTGCTCTGTGCTAAGAGCCGGACTTGACCTGCTTTATGGAATTTGCCTATAGACCATCATTCATGCCTGTAACCTTTGGCACAGATACGAGGTGAGCAGTGAGCATTCTCCGTGTTCCGCCATTTGGCCACACGCGTGCATATATGTGTATCTAGTGACCCAGGGTTTCACTGTTGGCTTTGAATAAATTTAAACATTTCGTTTAATCAAGAGTCAAGTGATTCTATGTGAATGTGGCCAAATATTTGGATTTCAGCCGGTTTTGGGCGCCCGCCTTGCGCCAGAGCACACCAAGAAATGTTGCAACATGGCTGTGACGCAAAAATACCAGCAGTGTGGTCTTTCTGAAGATGCATGGCGTTAGGCAGTGAGGCTGAGTTTCATTGTCAAACTCTAGAAAGAGGTCACTCGCCGTGCTTGGAGAATCAACGTGGCAACAGGCTGTAATTTCTAATAATCTCCCAGCGGGTCGGTAAATTATTCAGATGGCGCGGTGTGTGCAAAGAGTGTCCCACACCTCTTCTGTGATAACCTTGAAGAGACATAATGATATAGGTGATTTGTGAGTAGAGGGCCACCGTGGGCGAGCTGGGGCCTTCAGTGACTCCACAACACGTGGTGCGTCCACGCAGAGAGGAGTCACTCCACGTCAGGCAGTGAGGGCAAAATGGCGAAGCTCTGAATGAAGGAGATAACTGTGTGCAGGCTGCTGTTTTTTTTTTCTTTTTTCTCCACGGTGTGTAGTTCCGGGTCTTCTCGGGGCCCGGCTCGCCCTTTAGCAGCACAAGTGGCCCAATTCAGACCTGTTTGAGTAGGCTATAGAAACGAATGCAACAGGAGAGGATTAGTATCACGGAAACCAATTTATGGAAGCCCCATCTCAAAATGGCCGTTCATATACTTAGCCAGCAAGAGCCCAATTAGCCTATCCAAGTTATGTCAGATTTGTGTTTAACTGTTGATATCAAATATCATCTACAGGTAGCGCCTTTGTGTGGTGTGAGTTTACACAAATGTACTACATTAGTTTGTAAATGTTCATAACTAAAGGACTGTAGTGACCTGCTATTAATGAAGGTTAATTTCAGCAAGCAGATGACTTTTGTTTTTTTAACAAAGGCTTTTGCTTTTAGAACAAATAATAGATGGTAACATATGTTGTCCCATAAAGGACATAACAAGCTGCTACTTTTTTCATATCTTTTTAACCTTTATCTGACTAGTCTGCCAAGAGTAGGCTATGTTCAGTACAGAAGGCCTGTTGTTGCTGTCTGTGTGTAGCGGCTGGCTTTCATAGAGCCTGTGCAGGGCGTGTATTTAGAAGACACCCTTGATGTTATATCTAAGCTTAAATGCCAAACAGCTGCTCTAGTGCAGTTTTTCTGACATGGAACCTCAATGGAGGTGTGTGTTTGTGTGGGAGGGGCGGGTAATTCAGAGGGAACAAACCCTTTATTTGAGGGGGGAGGGGTAGTCTTAGAATGGGAAGTTCTAGCGTAAAACTCATTCGTTCTTTCTAAAGGCTAAATGTTTGTGCTGAACCCCTTATAGGCTGCAGGGGGCGCTGCCCATGGGTGCCTCGGACCTCTGACCATATTGTGAATCAAAATCAGTGTACAATATTTACATAGTTAAAGGAATTGTTATGGTGAATCAGAATCAGAAGGAGCTGTATTGCCAAGTAGTGTTTTACACATACGAGGAATTTGCTTTGGTGAGAAAGCGCTACACGTAGACAAACATACAGTTGACATAAATAAATGTAGAAATATATAAATATGGAATAAACAAATGCAAGTTATATAAGAATAATAAAAGAATAGAGAAAAAGAATACAACCATTTGCAGAGAAAGAACAATGTGGCAGATATTTACATGTGAATTTCTCATTGTGGACATGTAGGCTACACTACTTAGGCTTATGTGTGTCTGTATGAGATCAGCAAGAGATGAGAGGCAATATTTTATTATATATATAAACTTATGAAAACACTTTTGTAAAAAAACAAATACACGTTTTACACACATTTTATCTCCAGTTAAATTAGTTAAAATGCATTAGTCCCCTCTAATTTGATTTTGTTATTAGCTACTACCATGGCCTTTTGACCATATCTGCTTAACATGTGTGTATTGCCTGCATATGCACTCCCTCTGTGCTCTTGGTATGTGTTTGGAAGTGTGTATACTGCTAAGGACGGGTACATTGTGAACAGGAATTTATACCATTGTTAAGGAGTTGATTATGGCATGGGTTGACCTTTGACATCGAATCCAGTTGCTCTGTAAATTTTAATTGGTATGTTTGCACTAAGTATATGGCAGTTATGTGACCCCACACTTGGTAGATGGACTGATTGTGACAGAAATTTTCAGTGTTACTTCCCCATGTGTACAAGGATCTACCAAGGCTGTTGTTGTTTGCCTTAATGCCCTAAAACTAGTAAATGCAGTTTTAGTTAAAACATGGACTTTATAAGTACCTGTATTTGTGCACCTTTTGGGTATGGTTGAGGACTGTTGTCGTATGTTCTGATTTCTAATGGCTGTACTTATGTACACACACCTAGATAATAAAAGCAATAAAAGAACGTGGTCAGTAGCTGATGAGAAGTTTTCAGTAACCCAAAACTGGCTTGATACTTCACTACCTTTTCTAACTTTATGAATTTGCTGAACTGATGGTGTTTCAAGTCCACTACAGAAAATTATGCATTATTTGTGTTTGGGGTTACAGAGGCCCCATCTGTAAAACTATGGCTGCGCAATATGGTAAAATAAATAAATAAATTATATTGCGATTATTTTGACAGATGTTACAATTTACGAAATGATTCACAATTAGTGGGAATAATAATTTCTGTATCACAATTTTCATTTTCTCTGAAAAAGCTATTAGAATCATGATGATGTGACATTTGCTTTCTAACATCTGCAGAAGATTTGTTGGCAGGCGCCTCTCTGCAGCACTATAGTACTTCATTATAATGCTGTTGTATATAATACAATATAATGCATGTCACACATTTTTACCTTCATCAAAAAAATGCAGCTTCTGCAATTTGCATATTGCACTTGGCACATATTTTGATTTTGATAATATTTAAATTAATTATGCAGCTGAATGTAAAACCTGGTTTAAATTGTGAATGCTACATATCTGGGATTTACCTTCATCACACATGCAGACCAGTGAAGTGTTACCACTTCAGTACTTTACATGCTGGGGGTTGAAAATAAGAAATATTTATAGTAGAAAGTAAATATTGATTTTGCAATCATTACATACACATACATGTACAGCAGCGAGGCCTGTGGAACCCCGAACAATGAGGAAGTAAAGCCAATCTCACTACCCAGTATTGGGTTTTGCATATCTAGACACTACCATTTGTTTTAAAAACAAATATATATCATAGCATTTGAAATACATTACTTTTGTAATGAAATGATTGACACCAAGTTAATTATTTTGTGAAATATTATTTTGAATGATAGCCAGCATGAAAGTGTTCTGTGTCACTCTGTAATCTCAATGTTCGTTGTTATTAGAATAAAAACACCATCTCCTTTTCTCTTATCTTTTTGGTAAAACAGTAACCAGACTCATTTGCAAATCATTTTCCCTCTCCCCTGATTTATTAGCTATAACTAACTCTTGTCTTCAGTTTGGAATTCATTGTTTGGATCATTTGCAGCATCAGTTTCTTACCTCTACCTTCTGGTGTCGCCATGAGTGTACTGGCATTTGGAGCCAAATAGGAGCTGATGGTCAGTCTACAAATGACTTCAATCAAAATAGATGATGATGATTTTCAGTCAAATGTATTCATTTGTTTTACAGCTTGATGAGAAATAAATGCTGAGAGTCTTG